CCAGCAGTTGCCCAACACGAATTGCGTCGCACTCGAAACAGTTTGCATTCAAATTCAAATTCAAATTTCGCCCTAAGCCAGTAACTTGACGGCTGATTAGGTTTATTATTCAGCGCTTTCTGGCCAAATCCATTTTAAGCGGCTTCCAGGATCTGTCAGTTCCTGCGACGCCCTAATTAGTATGCATGTCACAGCTTGTGTAAGGGCGACAGATGTGTCGGAGCATTCGATGTTTTCTCACAACAAACAAGCTGAAAGAGGTGGCTGCGAGGGCAGTGAGGCCTCTTTTATGACACTTTAAAGAGGATTTCCCTAGAGAAGTTACTTTTTAATGGAGAAATTAAGATCTGTGCAACAATGATTTCCAAAGTACATTTTCTGCAAATAATTGCCAGACATAATTACCCATTGAGCCACTGCAGATTTCATTTCACTCAGCCATTGTTGTTGATTCAATTGCTGATTTAAAGACCTGCCAGCACCATCCACCATTTACTCTCTTTAGTTAACATTGTCACGTTTTTCGCCCAAATCGAACGTTTAAGACGCGACGACAGAAAGGCAAACAATGTCGCGGCCCACACGACGTATGTGTAATGTGTTAAAAATGACGGGTCCTCGCGTCTGCCGTCAGGGATTAGTGGCAAGTGACTGGAAGGATATGCGGGCGTGTGTTCTTGAAACTTAAAGACCAACCTTCAGCCAGCAAACCGAAACTGAAACTTTTTCGGCCTGATGGGGGCGAAAGGGCGCAGAGCAATCTTACTTAACACAAAATATATTGTGGCAGCGCCATTTTCAACGGCTTCGAGGGCTGTTCAAACAGTTTTCGGTAGTGGCTTTGGATGGGTGCTCGAACTGATGGGCCAACCCACTCGCACGGCGCTTAGATTAATGTTTGCCTGGCAGACACAAAGGATATTTGATAAATGATCCCGGCCATTATGTTTCCCTTCATCTAGCCGCTCAACATGTGTAAGTACATTTATACGAGTCAAAGCGTATGAGTGTCCTTTTTACGGCCAGTATATAGAGATCAGTCTTTAAGTGTTCCAGAATCCTGAGGCAGCTCAATTGACATGCAGTTGAACTTCAGTTGAAAGAGTTCAGTTGGCTTAGAGTTCAAGAAAAATATAGACATTTATGAGCTTTACAAATTTAAGAATGAATTAAAGTCACTAAAAGATATCTTGATTAACGCATATATTTCTTTTTTTTTGTGAAATTGAAAAAAAATGTTTATAAGATTAAAAGAAAAATGGCTTTAAGTGTTTTACATTTCTGGAATAAGTTTATTATAAAATATACGTTAGAAACTAAACCAAAAATTGTTGATTTTTAATTGAAAATTTGATTCTGAGGTATACCTTGCATGCTTTTGTTCTCAAATTCCAATCTATTTCTAAGAAACCCAAACTGGAAAACTTTAAAGTTGAAAACAAAATTGTTATGAAGTTTGTTGGCCAACTCGAGTGCCCCCCGATTTAGCTAAGGAAATTCCGTCTTGGAGCATAGATATTTGTTTTCGTTTTCTGGCTTGCGAGCACAAAACCGAAATTAATTGCTATCGCCCGGCAAGTAATTGACATTGCCAATGCAGGTGTCCAAGTCCATGTCCATGTCCTGGCCTCAGACCGCATGTCCTGCCGAATCGGGCGGCACGCACATGTCCGGTGGTCGGTGTCAATGTGCCTGGCAAAACAAGCGACGGGCCCAGCAGGCCGAGGCTAGTTTAAATATCCTGTTAGAGTGGATTCCCCTTCCGCCCAACTGTCACAACAGACCACACAAAACGTCATATTAAAGTAATTAAGTGGCATAACAACTTTGGGGCATGCATAGTCGTCAGGTCCTGTGTCCTGGCAAATTGCCTTATTGACTCATTAGACTGGTTTTGAGCGTCATTAGCCAGGACATTGCGGGCACGATGGCCATGAGGAATTTAATAAAAACAAGCCAACGGGGCGGGGGGTGGACTTATAGTAAATTTGCATAGTAATGGCGGGGGACAATATCCTGCCGACCCGAGATTGTACGCATAATCTTATCGAATGATTTAATTCTGCGGGTCCCTCCCAGTTTCTGGCGCTGGCAGGCCGCCCCTTTGTGATGCTTATCTGGGTGCTGGTGCTGGTCCTGGTCCTGACTACAGTAATCCTCATGGCTATCTGACCGAACATGGACACGGGCAAATGAGCAGCAAGGACCGGCCACTAAAGATGTCTTCGACTCCAGTTGGGGGCATTTGCCGAGCCAATTACTCCCATTTTGCCATGGCAATTGTTTGGATGACAACCAGTTGGAGGACTTTTATGGATACCCTCCCCTTCTCGAGTGGATTCCACGCGTTCCAATTGACAATTACCTCTCGAAATAAATAAATAAATAAATAAATGTTGAGTGCTCTTCAAAAAAGACCTGCTTCCGATGTGTATTAACCATTATTGCGTTTATTTCGTCTCCAATTTTTTCAACCAAATTGTTCACCGAAAAATTCGATTTTTTCCCATATAAACATTTCTGACATTTAAATGCATGCGGTTTGCCAATTCAAATTAATATTTCACGTTCATATTCATTTAATTTTATTTTAACGATGTTTAAAAAATGGAAAATAAAATGTTTTTAAAGTGGGTCAATATTTATTTTCATTGGACTAATATATTTGCATATATTCTTCATTTTGTTTTAAATACAAAAAAATTACTAAAGTGGCTCATAAATTTTTAATTGCATTCCATTTGAATCTTGTTAAAATTTCAAAAACATCAACATAAAAAATAAATGTGTTAGACATTGAGCTGGGCTGATTTGTTTGCCAATACTCAAATGTATATCATTAATCCTCGTTTTATAGTTGCCATATTTGTATACAATTAAATGGAAAGAAAGTGCCTTTGTGGTAGTCTCTGTTTTTGGGGATTAAATATGTTTTTAAACCATTAAAGAAGGCAGAATGAAATGCATTTTGTATATTTTGGCTCCTTTAATAAACTTTTTGACGTATGCAAACAGCTTTGACATCAGTCAAAAGAACGTTGATTGTTCAAAGGCCACTTAGCGAGTAAAATGTTGCAATGCCTCGCTGAACTTTTCACTTTGCCATGACTCGGGATTGAAGGATTTTTGCTTGCCATTTAGCACATTGCACAACTCGGTTGAATAAAGCTAACAGAGAATCCTTGTTCGTCTACCAGCTTAGCATTTAAATGGCTACAACCGTTTCAGCCGGTTAAATCGTTTTGAGACACCAGGACCTAACCCTTTTCCAAGTGGACTCATGGCCTGCTTTATTTAATCGGAAAGCTGGCTTTGAAGGCATTCAGGACTCACTTTATTCCATGGCTTAGGTGCAGGAAAATTGCTGCTGCTAATGGCTGTTTATTATCGAATATTTGCGCAACTAATGCTGACCAGGAATTTGGTTTGCTTTGTTGAGCACCAGGTTATGACGGTTCAATGAGAGGATTAAGGAAATAATCCGGGAAAATGGGTCGGGGGATACCCTTGGTTTTTCACAGGATATTTCTGAGCCCGCTGAGTGTTCAAAAAGGTTGGGCTTTGGTGTTCCCGCAAAAGGAAACCGGGAAATTCAAAAGCCGGCAAAGTCAACAGTTTTTAAAACCGCAAGTGTGGAGAGCACGCAAATTCGGCCAAGAACGAAAGTGAGTGGGAGCCATAAAAAGGCCAAAAGAAGTCGCCCGGAGAGTATCAATAAAGGACGTGTAAGCCGCCAGCCAAAGCGAACGAAGGCGAAAGGTCAATGTAAAAAGTGCCAAGCCACAATAAAAAGAAACAGTAGCCGCAGCCAGCAAAAAAAAAATAAAAATAATCACAAAAGTAAGAAAAACTGAAGAAAAGCTGAAGGCTCAAGGGCCAACGATGCGAGCACATAAAACGGCAACGTCAATACGCACAAATATACATCGTAGATTGCTTGTAAATATATTTATAACTATAGTGACACAAATATAAGGTTTGTATAAAAAAATACCCTGAACTTTAGAAATATGAATAAGCAGGGATAGATAAACAAAAGCAATAATCTCACTCTACAGCACAAATAACATACGTTTTTATTATCTTTATTATCCATTTTGCCCACTAACTTGTAAAGTTAACCCATTATTAAATTAAATGTTATCTTTTAAATTGCTCATAGTTTATTAAGAATCGTCTCTTTAGTGTCTATTTAGGGCCCAAGCCACCCTTTAAAGGTCAAGTCCAAGTGGTATTTGCAATTTTTGAGACAACTCGTAAAAGTCGCTGGAAAACGCAAATGTATCCGGAAAGATATCGCGGCCGCGGCTGGGAATTTGAATACAAACGCACCGCGTCACTCGTAAACTTATGGCAATGTATTTAATTTTTTTAAAGCCCGCAATTCGCGTTTAACTTAGCGGAGTGAAACCGCCAGAAGCATCGCAGCCGAGGGAATACATAGAGACAAAGGAGACATTGTTTTGCCAGGGAATCAATTACATCCTCAGTGCGCCCAAGGAACTCATCTCGTTCTCGTTTCCATCCCCTCTACGGCCCTCCAGCTCTATCGACTCGCATTGGCTGCAAGCGATTTTTTTGATTAGCTTCCGCCCACACAGAATTCTGGTGGGGAAACCATCGGAACAGGACTAATGCACGGCAGGCAGCAAAAGGAAGAGCAGGTAATAAAATAATAAAATTCTGTTTTGATTTCTGCCCTCCTTTACCCAGCATCCCCTGTTCCTGTCGTAAACATTGTTCCCATTGCGATGACGTACACGCGCCCAAAAATAGCAACGCAACAGCTTGCTAACAAAATTTCAAGGCTGACTTAAAGAAAAAAAAGGGTATATTGAACTACATAGCTACAGCAATCTTAAAAAAAAAGAATATAACGTATATAAAACAACAATCATTTGTATAACTCTGCATTTAGTGTTAATAATTTATAAGTAAAATATAATAATAATCTAAGAATTTCAGCCTTAGCTCGTCAAAAATATTTTTAAAAAATATAATAAACCACATTTTATTAACCATCAACTTATGTTCAAAAGTTAACAAAGAGAAAGTCAATACAGGGTAAATGTCAGTCAAATGAACACGAACTGTGTTTTTTTTTTCTTTTTGTTTGCTGGATTTTCGGCGTGTTATGGCAACCAGTCCGTGAAATAACAAGGAGCACATCAAACAGCACACATGGGCTCAGCTCATGGCGTCAGCGAAGCCAATGCGATGCTTTTCCATGTCAAATTCCGTATAGTATTTGCCCAAGAAGACATCCCCCAGAATCCAGAGGGGTCCTTTGGGCGACGGCAGGTCCACGGCTATGAAGGCGGACGAGCAGATCCTGCGGTCCTGGAAGATATCACGGAAGACGTACTCGTGACCCTCAAGGAAAAAGCTACGATCTCCTATAGTGAAGGTGATTCTGGGTAAACTCGAAACATTTTCGCAGGGTATCAGAAACTGGCCGTACAACGATGGTGTTCCTCCTATCGATTCATTGATGAGTATGGCCTGGTCGTAGGGTAAGGCCAAGAAGGAGGTGCCCGTATCAATTATCACCTCACAACCCTGCGGACACAGCTCCAGATTCCGGATGGTGGCCGTTTCCATTCTCACCTGCCAATAAGCACGGTGGCTCACCTTGACATAGGTAAAGTTGCCACTGTAGTAGTTCGGATTGGAGCCGCCAAAGAATATGGCTCCACCCTCGTTGTCGCCATTCCTGCTCAGGTACACACTGAATATGGGTTTCGATAGCAGTCCCTGCTCCATCATGGCGTAGAATGGTGGCTGGATGTGCTGCATGGAGATTCTGCGATAGGCCAGCCCAAAGATGCCGTCGAACTTGGCCGCCAGGAAGATTGGGCCCGGCATTTCGGTGGCCTCCGCGAAGATCTGATCCCGAATCTCCAGGCCGGCCACTCGAACAGTATCGGTTGAGAGGAAGCCCGACAGACTTCCGCTGCCGTATTGGATGGCAAAGTGGTCTCCCCTGGCCTGGTGACTGGTCGACCTCTTGGCATAGTACCGGTTGTGAACCCTGCAGGCCACCATTGTAGACGAACAGGTGGCAGACGGCACCCAGAGATTCGAGGAGCCCGTGTCGAAGATCACCTGAAAGCTCTGCGGCGGTGTGCCAATGGTGATGGGTCCAAAATACTGGGCGTCCAGGTAACTGCTCAGCGGAGTAGTGCTCACTTTTGAGTCCCACTCGCCTCTCAAATGGCTGCCCTCCTCGGAGTACTTCAAACGCAGTCTGTCCATCCGGATGCCCAACTTCTCGAATCGATGACGGGCGGAGGGAAAGCGACGCAAGGGAACGCGGTACAGCTGCAGGCTGCAACTGACCGGAAGTAGCAGCAGCAGCGGAAGTAGCTGAAAGAGCAGCCACATAATCGTATCAAACGCAGACGATATCAAGTTATGTTTTAAGAAAGAGACAAGTGACTGTTTCAGTAAAAAATCCAAGCAAAGGCAAGTTGATACGATGATGCGAACTTAAAAGTGGAGAGTGAAAAGCCACTCCCTGCCATACTTGTTATGTAATAAATTGTGTTTAAATATTTCCATTGCATATGCCAGGCTTCCGTTTTCAGATTTAAATGGTTTCCTATAGGATGAGAACAATTGATACCCCTTAAAAACACTTCTTGAAAAGGTCAAACATTGAAATGTTAAAGAAAATTAAAGGAATTTATTTAATACTTAGTTATAAGTTCAGTGTTGTTAACTCGTCTTTAAGTTTTCCAAATTGGTTTAAATTTTTATGTATTTTGGTTCCATTTGTATAGCAGCAAAAACACGAAGTACCCCAACCTTGAAAATAAGGATGCTGGGTACAGCATAAAAATTTCCATAAAAATGTAATTGGAAATGTGAAACGTCTGTGTGGCAGCAGCTTCGAATCGAACTCAGATCGAATATGTTGGTGGAAAAGGACGAGCATAACCTTTTCATTGCAATGTTAAAAGCGTCTAAAGGTGTCGAGTTCAAGTTGAATCAATGTGTGAACTCAATGTGTGTGTGTATGCACCGACGACAGGGGCTTCTAATTGTAGTTGTTGGCATTGAACGGTGCTGTTCGATTGCACTTTCATTTGCATAAAGATGTGCTCAATTGCTTGGATACAAACGTCTATCAACAAGTATTTTCTTTTAAAAGAAGCACTTTCAGAGCAAACAGCAAAGAGTGAAAGCTTTATTCATCATACGTCCCGTCGGGCGCCAATTAAAACGTCAACCATCTGGCTAATGTGACAATAACAAGGCCTTCGATATAATTTGAAAAACGGAAGGGGGGAAGGCAGAAATCCCAAATCCCGAAAACCTTTACAGACGACCTCCTCTTGAAAGCCAGCTGTCAATGACAGGCCACACCTGCGCTAATGGGCCAGGGAATACGACAATACCCGGGGTATCTGCTCCTTTGCGTTATTATTGTCCCAGAAAAGTCGCTGGGGGCTTGCCGGCACAATTAATTATTGCATTTTGCGGACTGACTAAGGGTTCTGGTCTGGCCTAAAAAAGGATTGGCATGGAATTCGACACAGAGCACTCGCCTCTTAATTGAAGGCGACTTTCCGGCCCCTGGGCAAATAACATTATCAGACAAATTCAAATTGCATTATGTGCCATTAGGCAAAAAGCTTGGAGAGTTAAGCAGAACCTCATTGAATTAGGTAAACACAATTAAAGTTAAGGAAGAGAAAACTTTGTGCTTGTGATTCTGAGGCTGTCAGAAAAATCATTCGCTGGTACAGAGTTAAAGTCAAAAGTCATGTCGGTGACAGGAAGAGTGGACAGAATGGGGGGTGTGAGGTTCTTGAAAAGCTGTCACCGAGTGTCAAGAGCCAAAGAAAACTTGTGTGGCAACACTTGTTGATTTTTGCGAAAAGAAACGAAAAGTTTGTCGGTTTTTTCCTCTTTCGACCTGTGTCGACCACACGGAAAAAGGTAAACTCCGTCTCAAATTGGAAAGCGGAAATTGCAGGCAGCACATTTTGTATTCTTTGATGCTTATAAATTAGGTTTGGTCGAAAAACCTAAACAAAATGAATGGGGGGAGGAAACAACTCCCTCTTGGCTAATATGAAAGAGATAGAGGCAGGTATAAGCCAAAACCCACAGCTGGCCAAAAGTTTTTGCCAAGAACTGCAGACCAAGTCGTTGATTCCAGGCATGTGGTCTTCGGTGTTTTTCCACTTCCCAAAAAAAAACCCAATTATTTCGTGAAACTTTGCTTGAGCTCTCTATCTACATTTTCGCCACACAAAAAAAGGGTCTGGCCATGAAGTTGACTCTTTAAATGGCTGGCTGAGAACAACCAAAAAATATTTATTTATGTATACAGAACGTTGACTTGTTGCCGTTTTAAATTATTTATGGGCCAATTAGTGGGGTCGAAACAGACCAAAAACAGAACAAACTCCCAAGCTGGGTATCCAGTTTATTGATTTGTTTTGCATTTCGCACTGGCAGCCGTAGAAACTTTTCTTAACCCTAACCGAGTTCATACCCTTAGCAGATAAATATGAATAGAGACTCGGTGAGGGTTTTGTGTAAACTCAAACTCGTATCCGCTGGCATGCATTTCGCCGTTGCAAATGTCAATGAAGCAGATGGAATATGGAAATAAATTGCCAATGCCAGGAGACGCAAAATAGTGAGGGAAATAGAAAAGTTTCTGCCACAGGAGGTGTTACTCTTCCAAGGGATTACCGACTGAAAAGGATAATGCTGTGCAATTTATGAACGAAAGTGTGATGAATAAGGCTAACGGTGAAATGGCCTTAAGCGTAGCTCTTAACTCATTAACACGTTGAATTTCGCACTTCAACTTTGCGGTCGTCGGCGGGAATATAAAGCCTTATTAAATCCGGCTAAATTGCATCGCCAGCGGCATTGATTGATATCCTGCTCTGCTGTGGAGGCAATCAATTAAGCGCACTGCGATGTCAAACACTTTGCACTCACTTTTGATTGATTTTCGCAGCAATAAAATAATGGGAATAACTGCAAGGGGCGGGGGTATTAATCGCAGTACCCGTAATTAGTATTCACTAGAATTGCATATATGCCACCATCAAAAGTGCTCTTTTTCGCCACTGTAGTTGACGGCACTGGCTGGCTCAACTCCGCTGACGGCAGCTGCTGCTCCAATTCGATTTGCATAAAGAATGTTACTCAGCCATCGCGGCTGCCGGTGGAAATTGTTTTCAAACCTTCACCGGCAGGAGAATTGAGGAAGTTCTCTGTCATCCCCGCTGACGGCTTTAAGTTCCTGTTCTCCCAGTCAATCCACAGCACAAGTTCAAAGTTTACTCCGCACAATGACGGAAACGCCGACAAGAGCAAATATTTAATTAGCCGAGCTCTTCGGGGCAGAGATTCACCAAACGGAAGGGAAATGAGAACATATCCTGTGGCCAAATTTTTTCGGCAGCCACAGGCATTCGAGCGTAAGGCACGTCAGATGAAACACACTTTATAGCCAAGGACATCGGGGGAATTCCCGCCGCCATCAAGGCGCTAACTTTGGCCCTATTCATAATACATCTACACATAATTAAGGAGAGCTGCTGAAAAGGCAGAAGCTGCACATAAATCACATACGGCCCGAATGCTCATCTCTTTTTCTGCGGACACTGTTTTAATCAAAAGCGAAAGTTGCGCTACAGAGGATTTTTCGCTGGAAAGAATATATATATTATTTTCGCATTTTATTCACACTTTCTATGATCCTTTTCGGTCGAGCAACACCCTTTGTTTAGAACATCTCTTTTTGTTGTTTAAAAATGTTTGAAGCCGATTACATATTTGCTGGAATTACTACTCTTGGGCCTAACTGAAACTTTTAATAACTTTTTCTGCTGAAAAGGCTTTTGACTTAATTCCTAGAATTAGCCGTTTAAAATTGTGATACATTTTTTTAGGATTAAATTTAAATTTATATATATAATAAAATTCAACTTTGAACTAAACCCAAAAAAAAGTATTTATTTTTAATAAGTGGGTCTTGGAAAATATTAAATAATATAACACCTACACTTTTTACACTTTATATACCGAAGAGCCAAAAACTGTAGTCTAGGGCCTTACCTTTAAACCTCATAAGTTTTATTTTGAAACTTTTGCGGTATTATTAAATTTATGTAACAATAGTTTAATTTTGTATCGTAGTTTGTAATTGATAAATATTTTCTACCAGTGTATAATCAATATGGTGAAACCTCAATTTTCTTCTAATTCACCAGGTGGCTTCTCATACTTAAATACTTTTTGTACGTCCGTTTGCCCCGTTGACCTGATGCCAACTTGTTAATGTCTGAGTTCCTACGCCGTGCCTTAGATGCCCCGCCTCTTGAGTGCTGGAGATGGCGTTAATTAAAGCAGCTGCCGAACCCTTTGAAAAAGATTTCTTGTATAGTGGCCGCCTAAGCGACTTATAATTGAGTTCCGTTTGCCGCGTTGCTGAAGTTGCCATTTTATGCGCACAATTTGGTTAATTAAAAAGCTACAATTGCGTTGGCATTTTTGTGGCGCCCCGTCGCCACTTTGCCCCTCTTATCTGGGTCCTTCAGGTGCTGGCAAGTGTCCTTGTCGCCGGATGGCAGGCGAAGGGTCTTCAAGGCGACAGCTGCACACGACGCATATGTTGACGGAAGTTCGAAAGTTGAGGGGGCATCGGCACTAAGGACTTGCCACACACTGATGTGATTCCATTTGCGCCTTTGCCACACTTTAAGCATAAGTTTTACGAGGAGTTTGTTTGGATGGTTTGGCACTTGATTCCTTTAAACTGGTTTTATTGTGGCGCTTTGGGCATTTCTATTAGGTTAAGCACGGAAACATGGTCACCACAATCGCCACTTCCGGCGGATAAATAAAAACACGAAACACAGAAAGAGAGCGAAATAAAGAAAGAAATCGCCGCATATCAAATTTAGAGAAGAACAAACGTTTCGTGCATATTTCATGCACATTAAACATTTATTTATATTTTATTTTATATTTCGGCATGCATTCTTTACAAACAGAGCAGCAGTTGGAGTGAAATATTTGCATTTTTACTCGGCTCTGAATTCTCTTTGCTATTTGGATTTTCCTTTTGTGTGCTCCTCGCTTTAAAAGTTGTGTACCCTGTTATTTTAGTGAGTATTGGGATTCGGGAACATAAATAAAATATATAAGTTTGTTTGGAAAATAAAAATGACTTTATGCTTGAAAAGAATAGTAAATATTATTTGCTCAGGAAGCTTTAGTAATTTATTTAGTTGAGATGGATAAAGTTGTGATTAGAAAAAGAAAACTCCTTCTTTCTCGTTATAAAAATAAGCATTTGTTAATGAAAAAATATAACAAATACCACCAAGTTTTTAAGTGGGTATTTTAAAGTCTAGACCATGTAAACAACAGCCAGCATTTCTAGTTTTTATCTGTACTTGCATGGCCGCTTCTCATGCAACATTTATGAGCATTTTGGGGCTATACTGGCAGTAGTTGCCATGAATTCTGAGAACGCCGGAATGTGTGCAACGCTTTCAACTTAATATTTCCATGGGGCGCTGCTAAGTGCAGAAGCCATTTGGACGCTAAATTTTCCAAAAGTTGACCTTTAAAGCAGATGGACCAAGGGGAACCTTTTTTCCCAACTTGGGTCAATTAACTCATTAAACTTGGCACTGTTTGCCGCGCTCAGGTCCAATTAGCGAACAATTAGGCCGCCTAAGGCCAAATTTTTCATCAGAAACCGAAATTTCAATTAATAATTAAACTGAAAAGTGTTAGCCAAGGCTACCCTTCAATGGGCTTCTATTAAATTGAAAGACCTGGTAGAGTATTAGGGCTGGATAGGAGTCATAATAAAACGACAACATTTTAGCTCTATCCTGTCAGATTCATAAAATGTTGGTTTTGATAGAAAGTTTTGTCCATGAAACTTTTCGCACGCAGATTATCGTACAAGTTTTTTGAGATCCGTGGCGCTGTATTGTTGGCTGGCCAAACTGTTGCACACTTTTAGAAAAGTTGTGAGGAGCGAAACATGTGTTTACTGTGTCAACTTTTCCCTTTAACTTTTTCCATATTTGTAGCCATAGCAGCTTTATCAAAAGAAAAATTTCCTTGTGCTTTTTTGTTTGGGAAACCACATAATCAGCATCATCAAAGGACATGAAGAACATCCCCTGAGCCGCAGCTAAAATCCCCCACAATAAAAGAACAAAATGTACACCGGAGAACGTGGAACATTTATTTAGATGCTCAGATTTTGTTTTCATTTGTTTTCTTACAGAGAATTAATTCATTTGCATATTGAGTTACATTCAACAGTTACAGGTGGAGTAGATGGCGCATGGGGTTCTATGGTTGATCTATGGGATGGGGCTCTCATCGATTCACATAGACGACATCAAATAGTTTAAAACGATTGGCCTAACTTAACTTGCTTGCTTGCTTGCTCTGCTTGGTACTTGGTTTCGTTCTTTCATCGCACTCCTCATAAAATATAGTACTAACTAACTAATCGCACTCGCAGACCTACGGCACGGAAGTGGAATTCAATGAAAGTTCAGTCTCTTAAGATGCAGTTGCTAGGAATTTGCCTACACCGAGTTCTCCTCGAGTCCTTGCTGCAATTTCAAGAACGATTAGTCGGGGCCGGCAAAAGGGTCTTTCAAGGGAGAGATCCTCCACTCACCCTCATCAGAGGACTAATGGCCCGGGGCATTACGCTCAAAGTGCTGCCGGAACTCATGGCATTGCCCCCCAACGTGGGCATCGTGTGCAGGGCATTGTTGGATCCCCGGTGGAGCGAAAGTGGAGCATGCTGACCCACCAGCGTCGTGGTGGTGGCCGAACTCACGCAGGACTCCCGCTTTCCGCGTCCATAGTAGCTGGTCAGAGGTCTGCAATGGGGGTCAGGTCGAGAAACACTGTCACTTCTTACCTCCAAATACCATCTTTTTCCCAGTTACTTACCGCATGCTCTCGGCTCGAGGCGAACCACCGCCTTTCGTGAAACTCTTCGTCGTGTATCTGCCGAGTTTAGAGAAGATTGTAGAGAAATAAATATAAGTATCAATAAATTGTACAATAATACTATAGATACTATACTATAAGGGCTTTTAAGTTGTTGAAAGGCTAATATATTTGAAAGTAAATATTGAATGAAAATATTTTATTTAAGATCCTATAATTATTTTAAATAATTAATAAAAAATTATTTCTGAAGTTGACGTTAAAATTTTACAAATATTGTTGATATATGATTTAGGTATCATTAAACATCATTTTGAGAGCTTATTAATAAAACTTTTTTGTATGTGTACTGTGGTTAAACTTAAAAGTTAGAACTACTTACCGTCGGTTTTGGTTCAGCTGGATGGTGCGCGTGTCCCGCCATGTGGAAATGTGGTGTCTCAGTGCATTTCGCACCTCCGAGTTGAGAAAACAGTAAAACAGCGACACCGAGAAGCCCTGCGACATACACAAACCTTTAGGAAAAAGCGGCAGCTTAAGCAAACAATCCAACCTGAGTGCTGAGTAAAGCCGCTCTCAGTACGGCAAACATGTGACCCATTAAGCCAGATTCCGATGGACCAGCAAGCACCACCAGGTAAGTGATGCCGAAAAGGGGGATGAGCACCAACAGGGCCTTAGCTGCTTTCCTGTACTGACGAGTCTCCACTGTATTTGCCGAACGCAGCTTTGTGATAAGAACCTAGGAGGACAGAAATCTGATAATCTGGCTCACTTCTTTGGCAGCTTACACTCAGAAAATAGTCGCAAAGTAAGCTTGCATTAAACCTTAAGATCCTCTTTCTTTTTTTTAAATAACCCTTTAAAATCCATGTTAAATATCCTTGCCAATTTGAGCACACTTTGTTACCCTAAACATATTCAAATAAACTACAATATACAAAATCAATTTCATATAAGCAATAACAAATATTAAGTATGAAGAAGTCTTAAGTGATTAATTCAATTGATTATGCGAATAAAAGGATGAATTTTTAATTAAAAAAAAATAATAAGAATTATTTTTATAGTCCTTGCTTAAATCCCTCTAAATATATTTTTTTACAGTGTAAGGCTCTACGCACCCACATGATGCGCAGCAGGAAGGTGAGATTGATGATTAGCACGGCACAGACGGGTCCCTGGTATATCCAATCCACATGGGTCTCCTGCATCCAGGGACAGTTGATTTCATACTGTCAAAGGGGAGGCAGAGAGCAGAGTAGGCTGAAGGACAGCTTGGCGGCAATCGCAGGGCAGACTTACCTTTTCGGGGGTGCTGTAGGTGACCGTCAGACTCTTGGCCACCGCCCAGGTGACAACGAACAGGGCCGGACCACCTGTCAGCAGGGGGGAGACTTAATTGGTCGCCCACTTGGAGACATTCGGACTTACCCCAGCCAATGGAGGCGTAGATGTTAAATCGAAGGTTGTCCCCCGAAAAGGTCTTCACCACCAGCATGTACAGGTACAGTCCCTCGACCAGCATCCAAAAGAAATTCGTCAGCGTGAAGAAGTGGAAGAGGGTGATCAGGGCAATGCAGCTGCCCACGCCACTCCGAATGGATATCTGAAGATTAAGGGGTAACCTTTATCAAACAACTATTACTTAAAGTCTGTCAGCAGCATTTATGCCTTGCCGTAAAGACACTCAAGTATGATTTAATAAGACTGCAATTGCTATTATACCGCGGACATAAAACCCACCTGGACGGACAACAGTAGTATCCAGAACAAAGCCGACATGATGTACGTGAAGAACAAATTGGCGTGAATGGTGTTGCGCAGGCAACGCAGCTCCCTGTGGCGCAAAGAGATGGGCGGGGCAGTCGGGGGTAAAGCAAATATATATAAATGCCAGGCAGGGGGTATTGGGGGTATTGGTAGTCGACTCACTTAAAGTAGGCGAAAACAATCAGCGCCAGCGAGAGCGAGACCAAGCTGAGGGTATATCCAATGTAGTAGATAATGGTGGGCAGCTCCACGATGACCTCGAACTCCGGCACCGATTCGGGGGCGGGCAGGTGGGCGCAGGCATCGTAGTTGGTGTACTTCTCCCAGGTCCCATTGGCGTGGCAAAACCTCGTTGCATTCTCTGGTCAAGTTCGAAAAGGCACGCAAAGAAAATGTCAACAATTTTAAAATAGACTGCGTTCTATTAACGTTTGTTTGGCTCAATCAAAAGTGTACTTTTATGGAGGATGGCTGGAACCCAAAGATGAGTTTAAGTAACACTTTTAATTAATTTAAATTAATCTTTTCATACTGAAATGTTATGATGTCATTAAACGAATATACCACAAAAATGACTAGGGTATTAACATTACATAAAAATTAGTCTAAAAAATGATGCCTTTTATTTTTATAGCATAGTGACTTTTTTTTGGCACGCCCCAATGTTCTTATTTATTTTTAGTTAATCATTATTTTTAGCTGGCATTTAAGAGCCCATAAAAGTCCAACGTTTTTTTAGTGTAATATAAGTTCAAAAGGCAGCTTGATTCGCTTTCACTCACTACTGCTATCGTAATGAATCCCCTGCAGCTCGTCCATGCACTGGAGCACCGCCAGCGTTCCGCGGGCAGTTCTTGGCCAGCACAGGATCGAGTCGAACTGGGTGAGACAGTGGTCACTGGCGTTGCCATAGGTCGAGGCCTCGATGTGCTCCTGCACCATGCACTGCAGCTCCACACTCTCGCTGATGTCCGCTAGGTTTTGCAGCTCCAGGAGGGGATCACTCCCACTGGCATTCACCGAATTGATGTGGTCGTGGTCAGTCATTCTACCACATCTTGACACTCAGTATTTTAGGTTCTAAAATAAATCAGATTAAAGTAATAATAATAATCTTTACAAAATATATACGCATATTAGCGTATTTCTATCCGATTTTAAGCAAAATTTGAGTTCAGACGCTTTATCATTCAAATTAATCGATTTTGAAAACATATAATATGCAATAAACTTTTTTAAAGCTGAAACTATTGATATTAAAGACAAAATTTAAAGATATTTCAAAGAAATATCAGTGAAATAGCTATCAGAAAATACGTTTGTGAAATAGCCACCTCATATTAATTTAGTTTATAGTTTCATAATTTTTCGACAAATATAACAACATTGTAACTACACTGATTATTTATGTTAATGTCGTGTTTGTTTTCACTAGAATTATATCATACTAAGTAGTATGTAAAAATAAATTTTGTAAAATTCGAAATGTATTTTCAAGAGAGTAGATATGTAGGCTTTAATGGCTTAATGGCCGAATCAGGAAAAACAAAACCTAGCTCTGCCTTACAGAATTCGTCCAATCAGAAAGTTATAATTCCCTCAATTGTTAGGGGATTCCCCGGCGGGTGGTTGGCATCAGGCTGTCGGGGCAAAGTTCAATCGCCAACCCTTCTGCCCGCGCCACCGCAGATTGCGGCTTTTGGCCTGTGTGTGTTAATTGCATTGGCCATGTTTCACGGAGTCCGGGCCACGCCCACATCGTGGCTGGCTTAAAGGCCATACATTCTCCGGGGAGCGGGCTTTAAGTCGTAGACCATTGCCATGGAAAGCATGGTGGCTAGATAAGTAAATGCACAGGCCCAGTGCCATAAAAATTCATTAGTTTTGCCATCAAAGGCGGACAGAAGCGTCAGCAGATCAGAGGGATGGCAGCCTGTCGTTCTGCCTTCGGTACCGATATGGGGGCCATAAAATGGGAGTCAAAGGGCCCGAGTCAAGGTTGATGGTGATAGAAATTAGAAACGCTAACTTCCTGCCAAAGATTGGGGGCTGGGCTGCCTTGTTTTGGTTCCTCTGCCTCAGATACGAAATCCCGCATTTATGTTTTGATATTAAATGGCATAAATGATGCATCGTTACATTAATGCATGACATAAAACTCAGGGCGGGAAATAAGACACACACATACGAGATATTAAATATGTATATGGTTTCTGGCTACAGTGCTTTAAAAAATTTGAATGTATCTCAGCAAAAATCAAAGCGGAAGCAGTTGCCACTCACTACTTAGTCTTGGTAAATTTAAAATAAACACGAAACCACATAAATCCCAGAGGAAACCCCAAAAACCAATGCTAAAAACGGGTTTCTTAGAAGTGCCACCCAACCCAAGGCAATTACTTTCTGTGGAATTTCCGATTTACTCGGACAGCACTTTCCCCGAGCGATTTTCTAATTGGCACAGGAATTTGCAGCCACAATTCATGAAATATTAAACCCTCAGGAAAATTGAAAATTCCGCCCCGGGCTTGGGTGTGCTACTTCTGGCTCCCACTGTGTTTGCCTCTGTATTTTCCCGGTCCATTGTTGCTCCTTTTTGTTTTTCTCGTAAATTAACGCATGCACATAAAACAAAAGACTGGCTGATTATTACAGTATAGTACATGCCTGCACGACTTTTCCGGAGTTTCCCATGGTCCTGGCTCCTGGCTTCATTAGCCGCTTGGTTACTTATAACACATACGCCCCGTTGCCTGCTTTTCTTCAACACAGCACAGTACAGATAAGTTAAGACAGCAATATACAAGACAGGCACATTTTTAAGTTGAAATTATTTGAAAAGGGAAAAAATGAGAAGGGACCGCCTCTAATTACCTCATAAATAAAGTCGCACGAAATTAGAAAGCCTAAATTATGGCCATAACTGCTAATTGCATATTTGATTTCAGTTAAGTTAGCAGGCACATCCACAGAACCCAACTAAAGCACGTTTCATATCGGTGTGTGAATAAATGCAAATTCATTCTGACAGCTCGCTTGGACCAATTTCATTTATGTTCCGTCAATTTGACGAATGTCCAAGCCCGGCGGGAAAACAAGCAAAAACACACTCAGCTTGGACGAATCAACGGCGGCATAGAAAAGGACATTACCAGAAATATACGCCGGCATAAGAAATGGGTCCAGCAGACGATGGACAAATCACACATATCGTCCCTTCTGCTCCTCTGCCTTCTCTGCACACGCTATTATAGAAGATTGTATCTAATCTCGTACGATTGCACACAATGGATTTGCCAAAGGCGACACAACAAAAAAAAATTGTGGGGATTGTTGGGGGCATTGCATGTGGATTCCTTCCTTTTTATCCCGCCCTTGTGAGAGTTTCTGCAATTTCCGGCTGCTATAATGCTTATAAATGTTTGCTCGCAATTGCCGGGGATTTCTTTAGAGGATTGAAAATATAATAACACTGTGAATAGTGGCAAGCGTTCGCATTTAGCACTTATCCCAAAAAAGTATGCACAAAAAGATTAAATTCCAGTTTTTTTTTTCGAGCCATTGAAGCCAGTTTTTTTTTCCACTTAAAACTTCACAATTGCTCCGTCGTTGCAAGGGACATTGGGTGGAAGTGCTATTTTTGGTTCTCTTTAATGTAGCTCATTAAATTTTATATGCATAACCTGCCAGAGCAGCAGTGGTAAAAAAGCGAAGCATTTACAATTTATAAACATGCCACACAAGAGACCAGCACCAGCATATTACGTATACGCCCCATGTATACGGCCAAAGGCAGCCATGAAAGCCAGCACGCAGGCATAAGCGTATAGAAAGTTTGTAATTAAATTGCTCATTTAAGCGTGCAGGCAATGTTTTTGATCGGGAATACAGAAAGGAAATTGCTGGAGAAATATATAATAAGCAGCATATTTATGGCGAGACAAAAGCAATGGCTCCTTTTATTCGTCCTCGTTGGCCGCTTAAATTTAATGCATTTTCCTTGGGGGCCGATAGGGAAGAGCCAGTCTAGACTATAGACAAGCCAACATCATAATTTGCAGGCACGCTCTACCATTTCCATTTCCGTTTCCGCCTGAGCCTGATCTGCTGGCCACTTCCAATGCTTAAGTCAGCACATATCCTCTGGCAGGAGAAGATGGGATGGGATGGGGCAGTGGCGTGGACGTACACTCAAGCGATTGGCCAACAAGTGTTGCGTTTTATTGTCTGTCCTTTAACGGCTCTCCTTTGGCTTCCGCTCATTGCGTGCGGCACGTGCAGGCGCCTGCAGTTGGAGCTACGTGAGGGATAGTCCGTATAAGCATAAGCCCATAAAAAGCTGGCCTCCAAATCTGTTATTTATTGGCCCAATAAAAATTTGGTTTAATGCATTACAAGTGGCCGAAATGCCAGGGAGATTCGGCCGGGACTTACTCAGCTCGCAGCGGAAGTCTATAAAGCGGAGGGCAACAAGTTATCAGTTGGCTTATGGTGGCTATAGAGTGGATGGGGGATTGCTGATTTCTGGCCTAAAATTTTACCAATCGATATTGCAAACATGCAACACAATGGCTCCGCAAGCCCCCCAAAACCCATCATCTCGGCTCTTTCGCTTTGCTAACCGATTGCATTGTTCTCGGCAGGTGAGCGTGTGTGAATGCTCCACTGGCATTTTAATTAACCACAATTTGTTAGCTTTTGCCTACCTTCTTCGCTAAGAAAGCTGGTATTCGCAGAATGAAATTCCTTCACCACTCCCCCTTATGTTTTCCTTGGTATCCTTGGGCTTTCTCTGTATTAAACACTCTCACATATTCGGCACTTTTCAACTGACCACCGAAGCCACGGGGCCCGGGCCCTTTGTCCTTTCGGCCACTTACTTGACCCGGCTTAAATGCGTTGACCGCCTTCTAAGCTGCGAAATGATTATGTTTAAGCTGCTTGATAGTTGCCTTGGTTATTGACACACGCCCACACACTGGGCCAAAACTTTATTGTGTTCCCATTTATATGCGGGATTATTTGCTATGGCAACACTTAGGGCCAATGACTTTGAAAAGTTTTCTGAATTATACTGGCCAATTATTTGTTATTCATTTATATTGCTTATTTAAATTCACATTCTTTACTTGGCACATATTTCAAAATTTAGTTTCCACTTAAGCGGTTTTGATTTCAGCTGAATTCGAAACTCCGAACCGAACCGCACTCGTCCACATGCCGCTGATAACTGCTGGGAAAGCCGAAGGATGTGTCTTAACAAGCCTCGCCTTCTTACCAAAAGGCGCCAATTTTGGAATCCACACGGGGAAAGCTCGCAAAGCTGCATTCCACAAGCTGTTGTTAAAGCTTTCCGCCAGTCAACAGGTGGAACGGAAGCAAAAAGGCGAGGGAGCGGGAGGTCCTCGAATAGAGGCCGATTCGATTGCAGTTCTAATGCCCGGAAATCTGCCTATTTGATTTATGCAAATATTTGCTGGGACCCATGTTTGCCCAGCATTTCGCTGCCTGTTTGTTTAGGGAATGAGGAAAAGGGATACTCCGGATTTGGCAGAGAGATAACACGGATGTGAAACTCCACAGACGCATGAGATGTCCTTTGAAGTCGCAGGCTGATTTAATTGCGAGTTCTGCAGTGCCTAAGAGACACCTCTCACGTGGCCTAATCAAATTAAACTCAAGTGGCAGCCCCACGGCGACTGACAGTTATTGAAATATCAATACGGCTGGGCCTGTGCCAAATGGTTCCCGGAAAATTACTGAAATTAAATTGTTGCGAAAACAAAGGGAACATTTTTATTCACAGGCTAAATTTAAAATTACCATGATAAACATTTAGACGGATTCTCTGACTGCTGGAGGCCTTGGATTGCGTGTGACACATGAGGGTTGTGGGATGATCCCGGGGGGTGGGACTTTCTGGGGCTCAGAGTGTGGGGGTGGCGACATCCTTATCCAAACTGTTTGATTTTCAAACAAATGCTAATGTCAACTGCCACTCAGAAGCATTTAAATTCCAATTTAAAAATGCTTTCTCTCCATGCCCAAGAGCAAAGACATGTTCGTTGTCCTGTAGTGTGTCACTCCCACTCGCTCTTTCTCTTTTTCACCGATTCTCTGATTCTCCAGTTCCCTGTACGCATTAAAGTGTTCGTCCTGTCTCATGCATATTTAATGTCACACGCATTTTAATCGATATTTTTTTTGTCCCAGATATCCCTCTTCTTAAATGTTTGTCACACAATGTACCTCATTGTTTTTTATTTCAGTCCAGAAATGGCCTGGGAATCAGTTGAATGCATCAGCATTGTTGCATGCATTGTTTCGATGTTGTATAGAAAATGTTTCTTTTTTTTAATTAACAAGATATGCCCGAGGAAATCGAAAAACTAAAAGCAATCAGAGCGCGTATCTTTGATAAGTCCGTTTTAATTCATTTAAGATTATGAAGTGGCCTTTTTTCATTTAAATAATGTACTGCCTCAGCATTTAAGCTCACCTTAAAGACAAAGGAACTTCGTCGAAATCGTTTTATGCCCAAAAAGCCATCAGCTTAGTGGTTAGGAACATAAGGAGCAAATCACTGAGCAGAAGACACAAAAGACCCACAAAAGAGCAGCTCGCATGTGTTTACACTGAAGAAATCATTTTGCTGCTGATAAATTAGATACAATTTATATTTAACGATTTTAAATGTATCATTAAACATTTCTTTTAATTGTTCTTCTTTATAATATAAGAAATATATCTTGTTAATTTATCAAACAAAAACACCGTTAAAGCTTGATATTAGGGCTACCAACATGGCTCACAAAACAAAAAACATCATTTACACCATTTTAATAGCCCGAATGTTAAGCCTTAAAAGGTAATAAAGTGACGATGGCACCTTCTATATGCGAAGAATTTCTTATATCAACTATTGTGACGAATTGCAATTCTTCCGCTATATATACTTTACTACATGTACTGCCGTCAAATGTGATTTTATAAATAGAATGAATAATTTAATATTTAATTAATGTTAAACATCTTATTAATATAAATTAATAACGAGTTAATATAAAGTTTCATTGGTTGAAATTATTTATTATTTTCTTTTAGCTGGATTTGAGTTTTTGTTTTATTTGTGTTGTGTTCAACCAGATCAATCATCTGCAATGTTGGAGCGGGTCATGGATCGCTCCCAAAGCTCTTGTCTGGCCTTTTCGAGATTTTTCATCCTCTTGCTGATGCTGATTAGCTCATCTTTGATGTACTCGTTATCTGGCTGCTTTTTCTGGGCCTCCATGTAGGCCTTGCGGGCACGCTCGTACTCCCCCAACTCGGCCAAGGCACGTCCCTCCTGGAAGAGCGTCCTCCAGGGAGGATTGTTGCCGGACAGACGGCGTATGTCCTTCATGACGTTGCAGGACCACTTCGGCTTCTTCTTACTGTTGTAGCATATCATAAGGCCTAGGGAAAGGAGAATCAGCAAATCGGTCTGTTGGCGCTCCTCCTCGACATTGGCCATCTGGCAATTCTTCAAGGACTTGATAGCCTTCTGAAAAGCAGTCACCGCATTGGGATAGCGCAGTCGCTTCACCCAAATCTTGCCCTCCTTGTACAAGTCCTTTGCCTGGGGAAATACCACATAGAACTTGTCGCGCTCCTCCTTGGGAATCTCGTTATCCGGGATCGGCGAGTAGTCGATGACCTCCACCTGGAACAGTGCATCTGCCTTGGGTTTGATGTGGGGCGGAGATCCCAGCTCGCCGAAGAGCAGCTCGTTGGATATCACAAAGTCCGCCTGTTCGTAGGGTCGCATGGTGCGAACAGCAGCCTCCAGACCCTTGAGCACCATGTCCCCACCAGTCTCGAATTCTCGCAGCTTCGCAGACTCAAAGGCTGCCTCCTCGCCCTCCCAGTAAGCCCTGTACCTAATTGACACCCGGGCTTTTTCCGGCACCGGATCTCGCTCCTCATGACCTTCGCGAGTAGTACCCTTGTAGATGTGCTCATCGATGCGGCTCATCAGAGTCCGAAGATTGTCGAGGGATCCTGTCCAGGGGGAGTCCACTGCTCCGTAGTGCGCATCCTTGTCGTCTCCGTAATACTTCTGCTCATTCATATCCCACATCTCTAAGAGTTTACTGCCGAATCGAGGAAATTTTTTTTAACAAAAGTTTTTTTTAATATCTGGCACTTAAAAAATGGCTAAAGATCTAAACGGATCTAAAAATAACAAACCTATTAAATGCACTGTACTTTTTTTTAATATAGAAACTGACAAGCGAAAGCGATGACTGGGCTCTATTTTATATAGTGTTGCAAAATTGTGTATATCCAATAAACAATTCTCACTTATAAGAAGTTTTAGTTGGCATTTGTATGATTTCAAAAAAAAAATCGCTTTGCTGGCATATTTTTTTTTATTGCCGAACAAGCAGAAAGTTATTAACAAATACGGCTGTGGAAAAGTGAATACGTCAAGATTTGTTTTCGCACTGCCTTTATTAAGCACGTATTTGGGTTTATATATACGATTTGGGGTAATAAGGGTATTTCTGGTACAGAGTTTGCAGAACTTTAGTCTAAAAAACCAACAATTATCCACCAGATGTCAGTGGTTTGAACAGATTATCAGGTAGATGGTGCGAAGACGTGTTCGACGGCTTATAAAAATGTTTTATGGCCCAGACACATTATTTAGGTAGAATTAGCATTATGACGAAATTGTAAAGCACTAGTAGTCACTTATATAAAAGTCATGTTTTAAATCAGGCCTTCTAAAATGAAATAAATATATTACAACTTAAAAAACCACAAATTGGAAAATAAAAACCAAATAATAAGCAAACTCAATAGAAATTTCATCCACCCTGTTCAAACTACAGATCCATTGACATGGTTACATGAGCAGAGCTCGAACCACTCGTACATATGACTATTTTTGGTAACAAATAAATTTGATGCCGTTTCTCCCAGTGCACCCACACATGTCAGTTGGTGGTGGGAGCACTCAACAATTACTTAGCTGGCATCTTCAACGCCTCGGTGCCTCTGGTCTCGCCTTTCATGCATTATCATTAATTACACGCCGCTCTAATTAGGATGTAACGGAATAGCGAAAGGATTATCCGCTGCTTTACCTGAATGCCTTCGATGTGAGTCACTCACTCGGCCTTAGTCTGCTTTTATCGCCCGTTCATATTAGTTTTGCCCAATTTGCGGCAACTTCTGGTGTTTCCCCAATTCTTGTCACGCACGAGCTGTCTGCCAAATAATCGAGTGGAATCGAGTCCAGTCATCAGTCAGCCAGCCTTTGTGAGCCGGCTGATGTTTGCTCTCAGCCTTCGGCGGACGCATTGAACCAACAAACAATGGCAAGCGACCCGACTTCATTACAAGCCCATTAAAATCGCGCCGAATTCGGCTATATAAAGCGGCTGGCGGTGGGCTGGAAAAATTTTATATTTTTTGCGGCACCACAGAGGAGATTAATCACTCTATCATAAATATGCAAAAATCAATTGTTTCTTTGGTCTTGCTGCTTCTATTGCTGGAATGTGCTCAGGCGGCATTTAACTGTTCAGCGCCGCCTAGCTTCAATAATTTTGTAAGAATAATCAATGGCAATGGAGGGTCTCCTGTGTCTGAAATAATAAGTCATTCTTTCAGGACATTAACACTTGCTGTCGTACTCCGGAATTGGACATGGGGGATGTGCCGCAGAAGTGCCAAGAATACGTGAATGGCTTGAAGTCGGCCAATTCCAAATTTCCCAGCTTTGCCCATTTGGTATGTAGTCATTTGATTTTAAGGGAAGTGTGTCCTTTAAGTACTGTAACTATTTCAGTGTTATCCTGACTGCATCTATCGGGTAACGGGAGCCATGGTCAATGGAAAAATCAGAATGGAGAGGGTAAAGCAGTATTTGGAACAGCATGTTCATCGACGGGATCAGGATATAGTCTCCCATATAGTGCACTCCTTTGAGACCTGTCTGTCCAACGGTGCGTATGCTTATCTTACAAACCTAACAAATCAGCTATAGTTCTCTTTCCCAGTTAAAGGTCACATGAAGTCATCGAACATTGAGTCCTATAAAGTCCTGCCCCATGGCTGTTCACCTTTTGCCGGAATACTATATAGTTGTGTGAATGCCGAGACTTTCCTCAATTGCCCTCCAAAGATGTGGAAAAATGAAAAACCATGCAATTTGGCCAAGGAATTCGCCCAGCAGTGCAATCCCCTGCCGCACGTTCCGCTGCCCAGCAGTTGATGGCCCATATAGATTTACACATTTATAAAATGTAAACAAACACTTAAAGTAAAAGTTTCGTTCATTAAATTTAATCGATGACTTGCTTTTTAAATATCATCAATACCCGACCAACATTTGTTGAACATTAGGCTGCAAATTGACCATGACAAATGAGCACGAATACTTTCCGCCCGTTTCTATTGGACCTTATGATCAGTTAAAGTTCGATGTTCGACTGGGCAACAGTGGTCTATTAACCTGCCATGAACCAGTTAACCTTTGTCAGCTGCCTTTTGTTCTGGTCGACTGTTCAAGCTGCTTTTCAGGACTTTGTGATTGGTCCAGGGGTAAATAAACTTAAGCCTGCTCATGGATGAATATAATATTTATATTAAATTTAGTCCTACGAAGGTGATAACGAATTATCCACAGACAGGAAGGATTTTTATGAGGAGGATATGGGTGAGGAAATTATGATCTCTCTGCAAGATGTACAGCATGAGGGTGTTGTGGATACCAATCTGCTGATGAAAGCCTTAATGCAACATGCTAAACGCTTGGGCATGAGTTTGGATGAGTTGGGTAAGCTACAAAACCATATTGCATACTAAGAAAGACATCAGAATTGACAACTTTATTTAATAGCCAACTTAAATATGGAGGGAGAAGAAGGGGAGTCTATCAACCAATTGGGCTGCTCATCTGGGCAAGATGGCTTTGGATTCCAAGAAAAACCCACCTGGCGGGACGTACTCTTTAACTAAGCCAAATAAATTACATCACGCAGCGAACAAGGCAGCTGAATTATTGTGATTTATTTCATTTTAATGGACTAGCCAATTAAAAGTCGTACTCTTTTTTATTTAGGTTTTTGGAGACTTGTCAAAAAACAAAATCCCAAAAAGTCTTTTTGTTGTAACTTGGGAAAAATTAGATGTATAGCCATAAGACTGACTGTTTTGTACAGCTGGCAACCTATTCTACCCATCCTCAATCGGTTTAGAAAAACTTATTTTGTTTTGATGCTAAACCCGGTTTTTGAAAAATTAATTTTATGGCCATTTTTCGCGTTTTTGATAAGGATGGGGGTCATAATTTTTTTCAAAAATATGAAAATCTGAAACAATTTTAACTGCAAATGCCATTTGATAGGCAATTTAATGACGAATTCAGCGATGTATGACATTCCATCATTTGAATAATACTTCTCAGCGTTTTGATAGAAAAACTGATTTTTTTAAATGTTTTTTTTAAGTTTTTGAAGACTTGTCAAAAAACAAAATCCCAAAAAGTCTTTTTGTTGTAACTTGACCAAAATTCTACGTATAGCCATAACAGTGACTGTTTTGTACAGCTGGGAGAAGGGGCGTCTATCAACCATCAATCTTCTGGGCAAGATGTCTATGGATTCCAAGAAAAACCCATCTGGCGGGAGGTACTCTTTAACTAAGCCAAATAAATGCCATCACACAGTGATCAAGGCAGCTGAACTATTGTGATTTATTTCATTTTAATGGACTAGCCAGTTAATAGTCGTCGCAACGAATGTTGTACTCCCTGGCCTCATTGCACCCGGCAGTTTTGCTCCAGACACTTTCCGGGCAATTGCGGTAGACGTACCGATGGGCACATAGGCCGTACATCAAGGACATGGAGGCACAACTCCCGGTGACCGGCATCCTGCGACGTTTCAGGGCCTTAATCATAACCTTCTCCTGGGCAGCACAGGTCCTGAAACCGTCCACATAGACCTGTTGAAACTCATCAGATTCCAGAATGGGTCTTATCATCTTTTCGATGTTTTCCATCACCAGACTTGTGCCGTTTATAGCATTTGCCGCTTGGAAAATGCAATCAAAGCTGCACTGTAATCACAGGTTATGTTTATTTATAAGCCTAACTTTCTATTTAGTTAGTTTACTTACTGGTGCAATATGAGCCCCATTGAGCAAATATTGACCGCACTTGGAATTATAACTTGAAAAATCAAGGTTGGGCAGCTTGCAACAATTTTTCAAGGCCTAGGAAGTATGCATAAACTTAGTTTATTAGCTAGTTAGATAAATAAATGTATACTCACAGTTACATCTGGCCTTTCAGAGCAGACTCTCTCTGCCGCCTGAAAAGCTGGTATAAAAAGTAGAGCCCAAGTCAGCAGGTGGAGCATGTCGGGTAACTTCTGCTGATCGTACAGTCCCCATATTTCATATATATACAACTCAAAACCGGATGTTTTAACGGCTTTCGGTTTGGCCCATCACCACCCATCGTGAAAATAAAATGCTCACTTAATGTTTTATTACACGATTCGATTGATAGAACCACGTGCTGACTTCGCACTCGGACAGTTCATGTTCTGCAATCGGGCCATTTCACACGATTCGGTTCCGGACCAACTGGATGTTGGGCAATGGTTAAAGACGTATCGCTGGGCACAAACCCCATAGAAAACTGCGAACGGAGAGCACTGTTTGCCTCTACTTTGCGGACGAGGTCTCCTTTCCTGCATCATCTCTTTGACAGAATCCGCACAACTCATTAGACCATCGAAATAGGCTCCCAGAAAGTCCTGATTATTTCCAAAAAGCTTCTCCAGCAAGATCCGGGCATTATCGGGATCAATAACTGAATCCACCAAGACGTTGGTCACATTAAAGATGCAATCATATAAGCACTGCTTAAAATATATGGGTTAATATATATATTTAACGGCTGGTTAAGTCAAGACTTACGGGTGAAGCTCTGGGGGCACCAACTGGCATATATTTACCACATTTCTTTTGGAAATGATCAAACCTAAATGTAGGATAAGCGCAACAGTCCCTTACAGTCTGGAAAAAAAAACATAAGTTATTATCTATTTATTTCAAAAATATTCCTGTTTCTATGAAATTCACATTGAAATCCTGACGACGATTACAATCCACATCCGTTGTATTACTGGCCACCATTGCCACCAAACAGCAGATCCACAGAGCTATATTCCAGGCCATTATTTCAGTCAGTCTGAGCTTGGTCTGCCCCTAACCGCTTAATTTATAACTCCAGTTTCGGGGGCGATCGGGCGATCCACTAATTAATCGAGCACAGCAAAAACATTTTTGGCGGCGGTCTTGTGACCCCAAATGAACAGTCATCGTGATCAGGTGGTGGACTTCAAGTGGGTCAAAGTCCAACGATATGTCCGATTGGGGGCTCGACCAGAGCCAGACGATTGCAATTATACTGTCTGAATTGGATAAGCTTAAATGCAATCGCTTGAATGATTAGAGACTGAAAGACCAGATAAATTTTGAGGTAATCCCTGGATATAAGTGTAACTCCTCCTTCATATTTTATCTTTGAAAAATATCAGTCATCAGACAAGAACTTTGAGATAATCAGGGTTAAAAAGCTGGCCAAAAGCATTCCCTTTGATAGTGAGTGACCACACCCATTACCTCCCAAGTCATCATGTTTTTCCTGGATTTCTTCTTTACTTTCGTCCAGTTTCTTGGTGCAACTGGATAGCAATCTCTTCAGATCATTGCACTCCTGCTCCGGCCGCCAATATTCGCTGGGACAGTCGGCGGTCAGATAAATCGTAGTGCACTGGGCATGGAGCATGGCATAGGGCAAACAGTTGGAGGTGCCCACGCCCATATGATCCGCTATCTGGTTGTTGTAGAGCAACAAGAAGTCGGCATGTCTCGAACCCAAGGACTCGCAGATCTCGTGAGCAGCCTTCAAAGCGGTTCCATATTTATGATAGCCATTCAAGGGACTGTACAAGCTAGTGATCATCATGTAGAGTTCCGGCTTCTTGATCTTGTGATCCTGATCAAGGAGATCCCAGTGCTTATACAGACACTCATAGCGGCACTATAGAAGTTTCCCTATGCAGTACATAAAATTATATATATAGGAATGTTACTTACCGGGCCAAAGTCATCCCAATAGGGTGTACAATTTGTGCCCACGAACAGGAACTTATCAAGAAAAGACTTTCCACAACAGTAGACCAACTTTTGGGTGTTGAGCAGCTCCGTACATTGGTGAATGCCCACAACATCACTGCTGGCACTACAAGCAATTAAATACAGACACAAGAAACCCACCAAATGCCGCACAACAAAAGACATTTTAAAGGTAAACAAAAATTTGGACCTACAAAAAAGATTTTATATTTTGTACAGCCAAATGAAGTAAAGTACTAAGCTATTCCCACCGGCATCAATGGGTTAATGTGTAGTTAGGGGATATCATCCATGTAATCTCTCTGCTGATCACACGCAAACATATTTTTCAACATTGACTTGATTCATTTGGCCCTCAACGCTTTAGCTATGCAGACAGGGCGTATACTTGTTGCCCTGATTTTACTGGGATTAATAGTTCCTTTTCAGGGTGCCAAGTGCAAGGCAGCTCCTAAATCTGTACAGGCTAGTAAAGTGAACTTAAAAATTTAATTTAATTTAAAATTCATAAGTTTTCCATAGAATGTACACGTTTGCTGTCCAGCACCAATGCCAAATTGGGGAGTTTATAATAAAGAATGTCATGATTCGGGACCTCAGTCAAGTGTAAGTAGTTTAGCTATATCGTAAGCTTAGCTAAAAATGTAAATTTCCTCCTAAAGTGCCGACTGGCTTGCGTCTTTAATGCCAGCTCAGCCCTGCAGGGAAATCGTTTGGTTCAGACGAAAATTCGTCCCATGCTGGAACGGGCATTTGCCAGTGGACCCACCATCGATGTATATGATTCAAACTTTGCCAGATGCTCGTCGGTGGTGAGGAGCAGATTCCAGGAACTATCCCCATTGAGTCGCCAAAGTGACGCCTGCGACAGACACGCCCTCTTCTACAGCCTTTGCGCTTATGCCCGCCTCATATTCACCTGTCCGGATAAAATGTGGCAACGGAACAATAGGATGTGCCAAGAGGCCAAGTCCTATGCGAAAAATTGCCCCTGGCCAGCGCTAAAAATGTTCATGAAAAATACATAGCGTGTTCTGTAAATGAAAATACTCGTAAAATGAAATCTAGTTAGTATATTATTACATTTTGGCTTTATTTGTCGGGGGTTGCGTGATTAAGTCGAGAATATTATGCTGACATTGCGGCTGATAGCCCCCGCAGTTGTCATTTCGGCCATCCAACTCGGCGATGTAATAGCGTTTAGGTAATGCCTCGTATCTAGAGCTACTGGGACTGAACATTATATGAATTAAGCTGCCCAGCACTCCATTGAGTTCTGCCAATTGGTAGCTATTTGCCTCGCAAATCAATCTTAATAAACAGCGATCTCCCAAGCCTAAGCCATGCCTAAAAAAAAATAATCCAAATTGTTGGTTAAAATAATAATAGCAGTACAACCACTTACATTTCGAAACGATGATTGATAATGTCATAGAACTTGGAACGTGAGAGCAGGGACCTCTTTTCACGACTTCTGCCCACGGATTCGCCCATGACATCTAGGGGAAATCCCTGGAAGAAATCCTTGTAGTCCTCGTCTTCTTCCTCTGGCGGTGGATTTGGTTTTGGCTTTGGCTTATGTTTTTTTTTGTGCTTATTTTTGGGCCTGTTTTTTGGTGGCTTGTCGGCAGCTCCAGGCTTGGATTTGCTTTTCTTCTTTTTCTTATTATGATGGTGTTTATGCTTGTGACCAGAATGATGATGATCATCATCATCATAGAAGTCATCGTAGACAAAATCATCAAACTGTTGGTGGCCATGGTGATCACCTAACAGACTTTCATCGTCTGTGCCATTACCATAACGCTAAAAAAGGCCAAAAACTTAATTAAATATGATTTCCCCAAAAGCAACTTAAAATCTTACCAAGATTGGCGGCTTCTTTTTCCAGGTTTTGGGCAAACTATAGGAGACCTCAAAATTGTAGGTCAAAAACGCTTTTTCTCTCTGCAAATCCAAAGGCAGAGCTAAGGCCACAAAAAGCTAACAAGGCCATGAATAAAGGAGATACTTTTTAGACAAATCTTAAGCTCACCGAAGATGCTCCTCCCGTACTCCAAACAAACTTGCCCTGTGAATTATGGAAGAGGGCAAGAAACAACAGGGTTGGAAGGGTTCTGTAACCATCCATTTTACTCAACTGCCCTCATACAACTGAAATGCCAATCTGGAAGAAGGCAAGGTGAAAACCTTTTCTATCTAGCCAGAAGTGATGATCCAATTAAGAATTTCTAGTTTCGAGCAGCGAAAGTTGCTAATTGAAAAGCCAGCACGTCGAATCAGGCCAAACAGTGGGTTCTACTCAAGCAAAAGTTCGAATTAGGTACGTTTGTTCTATATTTTATTGCTTTCAATGTGTTTCAAAATCTCCTCAAATGGTTCTGATATAAGCTCAAGAATACTTTCTCCACAGCCGGGTTCATAGAACTGGCAATGATCATTCGAACCATCGTGTTCCGCTTGGTAATAACGCAGGGGCAGGTCCTCTGACTCGGAAGTGCTGGGACTTTGAAAAGAACAATATTAGATTTAACTTTATAAATTTAGCACTACAATACCTTAATAAGACATGCATTAAACTGCCCAAAACACCATTGAATTCATCCAATTGCGCAGCACTTGTTTCACAAATCAGCCGTAGCAAACAAGTTTCGCCTTGAAAACCACTCCTAAAATATGAAAAGTATATAAAGTATGGTACTAAATTTTAAATCTATAGTTAACTCACCTCTTTAATTTGTCTATAAATATGCGATATATATTTGAACGAGTGAGCAGGGATCGAACTTTTCGTTCATGGTGGTTTACTTCAGTGGATTCCTCGTGTTCCTCACCGCCCACTTCATTTTCCTCCACCGTGCAGTTATGGCACCCAGCGACCAATTTCCGGGAAGACTCCGCCTCCGTTTCAGTATCGGTGTCTGCCACCACTTCCTCCGACTCTATGGGACCATTTTGCTGGAATAAGAACGATGAGTAAACAACCAAACAATGCTCCCATTATGATTGAACTGTTAATTGTGCCATAAAGGCGTGTTAATTGTCAACAAATGTGGCGTTTTATAGCCGTAAATAAAACTTACAAATATTGTCCATTTCTCCCAGTTTGTGGGTAAATTGTAGTTGGCCTCAAAATTATAAGAGACAAACACATTTCGATGGGGCAACTCAAGCGGAACAGCAATTGCGGCAAATATCTAAGATCGAGATGGTTCAAGAGTATCTTTTTGGTGTAATAACTTTAAGAACTTACACCATGAGTGCTGGAAGCTGTATAGGCCACAAAGGAGTTGGTTATATCGAGATAAAAAGTGAAAAGGAAAACCAGGCAGACAAAATAACTGGGGAAATTCATTTTCTCAAGCGAGAGCAGCACGATAGACCTCCACGATGTTCAGAAAGCAACTGAATTGCAATTGAAGCTAAGTACTAACAGCAAGTGCGTGGCCCTTGCCAAGCGAGTGGCCGCTAATTGGATGGATAAACCCCTCAGAAAGATACTTTTAGGTTCCCCCCAGGTAGTCCACTTTATTTTCATCTTCGTCGGCTTACAATATCGCTTAGAGCCTGTTCCAATGGCACAGAAATCAGGTCCAAGATGTTTTCATCACAGGTTTTGGTATAGGCAGAGCAATCCTGATGCTCCCGTCCATCCCATTCGGCCTGGTAATACTCATGGGGCAGGTGCTCATCCTTGGAGCTACTGGGACTGAAAGAGCAGGTAGTGTTAGAAAAAGTGTTACTATGAATAAAGAAACTCACCTAAATATAATGTGAACTAGGCTGCCCAAAAAGCCATTTACTTCGCCCAGTTGCGAGGCATTTGTATCACATATTAGGCGCAGCAAACAGGCTTCAGCAGAAAAACCAGACCTACATTTGATTTTATAAATTATAACTTACTTAAGTTAAATAGTAACTTAGTAACTATAGAACCCACCTCCTTAATTTATCCCTTAACATGGCATAAAAAACAGAGCGACTCATTAGAGTTAAACCACGTTTTTCTCGCGATGCAGCATTGGTTGAAGAATTATTTGAGCCAGTGCTATTTGTTTCGATTTTCCAATCCGTACAGTTTTGGCAGTGCCTGCCATTGGAATCACGTCCTGTCGTCGGATATGTCAGATAGCCTTCCTCAAAGTCCTGACCCATCTGATAATTTTAAGTAAAAACGCCATCAAATAAAAGACTTAGGAAGCGAACGTGTGAATAGAACCCACCAAAATCGGAGGATATTTGTACACGTGCTCCGGTTGGTAGTAATTAAACTCGTAATTGTAAGACAAAAACACATTGCGATGTGGCAAGCCAATGGGCACTGATATGGCCATGAATATCTGCAAAGCAAAACAAAGTTTACAAGAAGGAGCCGACAAGCTAATGTGTTAAAATTACCCCATACTCGGAGTTGGTGGTAAAAAGCAGCGTAGAGTTAACCAAGTTCAAGCTCAATGCTATGGCACATATGCAAAGCCAAGGGCTTAATATCAAAGATCTGTACATGGTAATCCGAAGTTTCTAATATCCAAAGGTAATCGAATTCCGATGTTTGGTGTGGAGCGTTTCGAGATAAACTGGCGGTCGCTTCGAACAAAAGTCGACAAGAAAGGTGCGTATCCAAGAAGCTGTTAATTAAACCCAGAATTGAAAGTCTGCGTCAGCCCGAATTGGTTTAATGCAGTTCAAACTGTAAGCGCCTGATCGATTATTCAGTTTATTGTCTTCCATTCCGTTTGTCAAACGTTTCCCGAAGAACATCGTTCAACGGCCTTGAGATCAGGTCCAACAGGTCTCTTCGCATTGGCTTGCATAAGAAATGCCAGCCTACTGAAGCGCCTAGCGCCCATGTTTACAGCTTTTATAAAACCACCAGCTGTGTTAATTGACCGGCACGAGTACGCACCAAAACTAACCGCAGTTCCGCCAACACCGTGCCGAGAATTCTCCAGAGATAGACATGGAAACAGGGCTGGTCTACCAAGTTGCAAATAATGTTTTATTCCAATGCGCTCCGCATACGCTTATAGTTACTCCTAGTCTATAATAATGGTTCTTGAGGTGTGTGGCAGACGCTCGAGATCGCCTCCGTTGGGCGTTTGCTACCTGGTGTTGCGCAGTTTCCTCTCCTTCCAGGTGGCGAACTTTCCGTTGGCGGTGCGCAGCAGTTGGTTCATGTGCTGGGTCAGCGAGGAGCGCAGCGGCGAGAGCTCGTGCATGGCGCGGTTCTGAAATGTATGGGTTATTAGTGATTTATTCAACAAATATAATATATGAAAACCCACCTCAAAAGGCACTAATTTGGCCATTTTGAAGCGCTGCAAGGTCTCGTGCATACGCTGCAGCTTTGCCTCCAGCTCCTCGGAGGTGGGCGGAAAACAGCTCCAGAAGTGCTTCAGCAGCTCGGACAGCGACAGATACAAATGGCGCAGCTCGCGTTGGAAGTCACTGGGCACCAGTTCTGCAGGGTAAATAAAAGCAATTAGAAATTATTTATTTCCGAGTAGAATTTTTAAGTTTTTAAGTAATTTTTGAAAGGGATCAACTCAATTATGTTTGTTTACGTTTGCAGAGAGTATTATAGCCATCTAGCCGTGTCCATCTATTCGTCCGTTTCTTAGCAAACAAATTTAAAGTTTTAAAGCTGTCAGAAAAAATTATTCTAAAAAGACTTATTTCTATTGCATGTAGTAGATAGTATATAGTGGTATAGGCTGTATAAGGATCGGGCAACTATATCATATGGTTCCCATAGAAACAATTGAAAATTTAAAGAAACAAAATTAAAGTATCGTTAAATGTATGTAAACATTCTCCGCGATATAGTGATGGTTTACTATTATGAAATTACGGTTTTAAATTTATAACAATCGGAAAAAGCAATAAAGAAGTCTTATAGAATATTTAATGTTGTGTCATAAGCTTCGGCTAGCTAAAGGTAGCTTCCTTTCGTGTTCTTTAAAACTATCTTTATCTTTGCATAACTGCTAACTTACGTCCCGCTGACTGCTCTTGAAAACCGCGCATCATGGATCCGCCAGGACTCAGTTCGCCCAGGGCGTTCACCGCCGCCTTGGAGCAGATAAAAGTCCGCTGCACGTTGCGGTTCAGCCAGGACTCCGAGTTGCGCACCAGCTTGTACTGCACCTCCTCCAGACTCATGGGGTCGTTGTGGCTGTCGTACATGCTGTTCTGGACAGGACCGTTGAGGTAGCGCTCCACCTTGGACAGCTCGAACTGCTTTGACTTGGTGACCTTGTCGCCGTGGGCGGCATCGTCGTCCCCCTCCATGAGGGGTTCACCCAGATCCTCGTAGTGAATCTTCTCCATCAGTCGTTGCTTCTTGCTCTGCGGCTCATCCTTGTCCACCTGATCGGCGGAGCTCTTCGAGGCGCTGGCCGTTACCGTGGCCTTTCCATTCAGACCGTTCGTATAGGCGGATTGCGAAACCGGTCCGTTGGCATTGTTGGTGCCATTGGTCATGGTCGAGGGTGCTGACGTCACATTGGTGCAGGTCTTGAGCACCATGATGGAATGCTGGTTAAACCGCTTGATCATGTTCTGATGCACAATGTTGCCGCTGTTCACAACGTTGCGATCGCCGGCCACACTGCCGAAACCCTCCTCCAAAGGAACATCCTCAAACTTCTTGAGGTCCAGCAGGGGATCACCGGCACCCTGCTGCACGGCCGCCTTTAGGGCCTGATCATCGATCTTGCCGCACTCCGTAAATATATCCTTCGTGCCGGCGGTGAGGCGGTCACGATGGAAATAGTGCGACTGGAAAAACTTGGTCCAGAACTCGGACTCGGGCATCTTGGCAGGCACATTCTCGAAATGCTTGCGCTTGACGGCGGGGTAGGTCTTGAAAATGCAGTGAATCACGTCGGAGGTGAGGTTGTACTTGAGGCCATTGCAGCCATCCGTTTGCGGCTTAATGTCAGCCAAAAAGGCGCCAGAGACACCTGCATAACAAGTAAAATAAGTAAGAAACAGGAGAAACATAATGGACTTCATACGGACCGATTTCCTGGGACTTGCCCATCTTCTTCAATGCATGATCCTTGGCGTGTGTGGCCCAAAACTCGTCACTTGTGAGCACCTTGGTGATGACAAGGTCCTTGTAGAGCTGCAGAAGGTTTGGGTTCTCCACGAGGATGCGGTTCTTGTCCTCTAGGTCCTTGTCCACCTTGCGCTTGAAGTTGGGCAGCAGTTGCTGCAGCAGCTCCTTCACCTTGTCCCGGTCGGCGAGCATGGCGGGCTGTCCCTGGCGGTTGACAAAGTGGAAAGTGGAGGTGTTCCCGTCGTGCAGCACCACCTGCAGCTGCACCTTGGGCTTGCCCTCGGGCGAGATCTTCTGGGCTGCGGGGGGAAAGGGATTGCGATTACTGCCTGCCCTGAGACGTGTGTGTGACGGAGGTGCACCCACTCTTGATGTCCGCATACCGATGGGAGACCGTCACCGTGTCGCGATGCTCCGCCATCCAGGCCACCCGCTCGTTCATCACGTAGAGGGTGCCGTCGCCCTTCTTGTACCGCACCTCGCCCATCTGGAGCAGCACGTCCTCGCTGCTGGTGGTCATCGTGTCCTCCGCCCGGTGCTCAGCAGTCGTAGTACCAGTCGCAGATCCACGGTCGCAGTCTCACATCAGAGCCTCCGAAAGGACGAGCAAGAGGACGCCAGCAGAAACTTGCCACCTGAAAGAGCAGAAAATGCGATCTGAGAAGCATCTTCGCAAAGGAGCCGCCTGGATGCTGGGAACGCGAGCTCCTCCGGCGGCACTTTCCCCCATCCGTAGGTCGACAAAACGCACAACTCCACGTTATTTGCACAATATTACTGAAATCGAAACGCACCTCAGAGCAGATTTGTGAAATGCCAAATCAGCGTGGCCAGACTTTGCCATAAGGCGATAACGCGTCTGTAGAATACCAGGAAAAAATACTGGCGGGTAGAGCTACACAATTCCTCTGACTAGATGGCAACTTTGTTGGCGGGAGATTTAAATATGAATGACTTTTCAACTTTCTTTGCAGCTGATATGTATTTAAAAAATATATTGTTTAACTTACTATGGCAAACAGTTAATAAGCAAAGTTAACATAAATTTATTTCTTTTTATATAGTTAAAAAACTCAAATAATAAAAATTGCACGTTATTAAAATTATTTATAATAATTAAATATCGTTTCTTACATGTCGTATAGTTGTGCAAAAGTAGATAAAGTAATCAAATGTAAATAAAAGACATTACTTTTGTAAGATTCAATTGATTTCAGCCCTTCTTTATTTACCTATAAGTATAAAACTAACTAACTTATGTCCGACATCAGTGCTTGGTGCGCTCCACAGTGCGCCCCCGGTCGAGTAGTTCGCGGAAGGTCTTGATCTCGTGCCGGGGAATGCTCTCGCGGTACTTGGGCTGCATCAGGCCGTAGATGAAGTCCAGCTCCGTCTCCTCGTCGTGTCGTCCCTCCGGCAACTTGGCCAGCAGGGCTCGCTGCTTGCAGACGAAGGAGTCGATCACCTCGTCGTGGGCCTGTTTCGTCTCGAAGATCTCCATGTAGAGCTGGTAGGAGGGTTTGGTGGGCGAGAAGTGGTCCCGCAGCAGTTGCAGGGCCTCCGGCCAGGTCTTGGCATCCCGGCGCACACCCTTCCACCAGTACACGGCTATATTGCTGAACAGCAGGGGCAGCCCCTTCAACGCATCCTTGTCGCTGATGCCCTCCACCTCCTTGTACGCCTCCACCGCGTTGATGAACTCGTCCACGGCATCGTGATCCCGCTGGCCACTGAAGCGGACCGTACAGTTGCTGAAGCTCCCCTTGGATGGCGGCTCCTCGTCTTTGATCGGCGCCAGGGATCGAATGGTTTCGATGAGTATGCGAAACTGTTCGTCGGACATCTGCGTCATTTTGTCGCCTTATTTACGGGTTTGTTTTGGTTCCACGAAAAGTAAACAAACACCGGAAATTTACCCGCTTCGAAATGATTTTGTAGCAAACGATTTGATTGTAGAAGAGCAACTGGCGTAAATTTTTGCCTGCTCAACGATTTCGCTTGTTGTGAAATCATACGCAATTCCTCTCCCCCCTCTTTGACCAAAAGCTTTTTCGAATTTCGAAAAGTAGCCATCGCTCTCTGAAAATGATAAAATTGAATGGGTAAGCACTCTCTTGTTCTCTGGGGTGTTTCCCCCTCCTATCTACAATTCGATTTACACGAATTTGTTCTCCAGATAAAGTACCCCAGATAACAGGTGGCATTCAAACATGTCATTTTTATAATTGACAATACTAAAAGAAAATGGATTTTGTATGTTGATATGGAATAGCAACCCCGACTATCTTATACTTTTGGCAAACATTTTTCCATAAACCGGATTTCTGAGATCGTCTTTATCGATTTCTATTGTCAAATTTAGATATACATATGTATGAAGTAAAAACTAAGATGAACTAATGACGTCACATATATAATAGTTGCAAGGAAAACAATTTACTGATTCGGAGTAGATAAGCTGAAATAAACCATTTAAACCAATTCAATTGAAACAAGCATACATATACATACATATGTAACATATGTAACTTTAGCCCATTTCAATAGTTCGCATGTTTGGTCCCCGAGCTATTACAAATTTTATAGAATTTCGTGTGGCAATGTAATATTCTAGATGCAAATAAACACACACAGTTTTTGCAATCAAATGAATTAATAACTGAAACGGAAATCGATAGAAAAGAAAAAATGTTCATAATTTAAAGCTATTAAATTGTTAAAATATTTTCTGTTTTGTTTTTTTTGCAGTGTTTATATTATCATTGGTATTTTTCCCCATTACAAATTTTAATATTTTAAAAAATATTTTTATAAGAAGGGTATGATTCAAGAAATGAATAAATACAACTACGGTTTTAATAACAAAGTCTAATATATTTAAATCGAACATAGTTTTTTGAACATATGTACATATTACTCAGTTCGATATTTCGCATGGGAATGTAATATTGTAGAAAACTGAATACACCCCTTAAAATGCAAGAAAATGTCTCTAGTAACCTAAACTTATAAATAATCAATTTAAACATATTTACTATCAGGTTTGTTTATCAATTTTTGGGGCTGTTACCGGCTTTCAGTGTTATTATTATATGGTGACGATGATTCACTGGCACTGGCAGCAACCAAAAAAAAACAACCGGCAACGCCCGCTCTTTGGCTCCTCCACTCCCACTTTGGCTCCTCCGCTCCCACTTTGGCTCTCCCCAAAGCCGCAAGCTTTTCCGAAGTTCGATTTCACAACGGCCGGGTATAAAAGGGGGCACCACTTGGGAGAGCTCCTCAGTTCGCAACATCGGCCGCATTCGCTACACTGGCTTTGTCTGCCGACCAGAAACTCACAGAGCAAAATACCTAAAACGTGTTGTCGCCCACTTGGTTCCACTCCAACCTCAAATAGCCGAAAATGGCGCAGACCTTTAACATGACCAGCGAGCAGCTGCATGAGCTGATCGAAGCGGTGCGGGTGTCCGCCGCAAGTGCCGCCGGAAACGCGGCCGCGGCCGGAGCAGCAGGCGCCCAGGGAGCCAAGGGCAAGGGCAGCTTCTCCGCCTGCACACACAGCTTCGGCGGAACCCGCGATTACGACGTGGTCGAGGAGTTCATCACCAATATCGTGACGTACAAGGAGCTGGAGGACATTAGCGACGAGAACGCCCTCAAGGGCATCTCGCTGCTGTTCTACGGCCTGGCCTCCACCTGGTGGCAGGGCGTCCGCAAGGAGGCCGCCACGTGGAACGACGCCATCGGCCTCATCCGCGAACACTTCTCGCCCACTAAGCCCGCCTACCAGGTCTACATGGAGTTCTTCCAGAAGAAGCAGGAGGACCACGACCCCATCGACACCTTCGTGGTGCACAAGCGAGCGCTGCTCGCCCAGCTGCCGGCCAATCGGCACGACGAGCAGACCGAACTGGACCTGCTCTACGGCCTGCTAAACATCAAGTACCGCAAGCACATCGCCCGCCAGAGCGTCCAGTCCTTCAAGGAGCTGCTCGAGCAGGGCCGCATCATCGAGCACAACAACCAGGAGGACGAGGAGCTGACCGCCGCCACAAAGAATGTGCGTGGCTCCCGTCGCACCAACCGCTGCACCTACTGCCACTTCCGGGGCCACACCTTCGACAACTGCCGCAAGCGGCAGAAGGATCGGCAGGAGGAGAACCACGACGAGTAGGCGATCAAGACACCACCCACAAATCACAGAGGGGCACCAACGGCCACCAAATGACATCACCGGTGGCCCCGCCTCCCACTCCCCCACCCCCCAAACATTCCAGAACTTTTCGTAGCCACACTGGCCGACCAACGTCAGCGAGAGCCCACCAACCGGAGAGAGAGGGAGCAGCAACATGTACGACAGCAACACCAGCAGCAGCAGCAACATCAGCAGCAGCAACAGCAACATGTACAGCAGCAACATACCAATCTCTTCACACTCACTGGCAAATGGCGTGCCGGTAAGCCTCGATCAGCATCTGAACCACAAAAAATCACGCTGTTTCCATTACTTCCACCCGAAAACGGCTCTACTTTCTTATTACTTCACGCTGCCCTGCGGCTCTTTTGGCAAAGAACGCCAACCATCCAACCAGCAATTCAACCAATTGCAACATTGATTTTGAACTCACAACTTGTACAAGCTATGCTGCGAGAATTATTAGGCGGCGGCGACTGAGGATCAGGCATTTCGTCCACAAAATCGCTTATTTGCAATGAATGAATGTGAAATTCGAGCCAAGGTTTCGAATTTTATGTTTTGACATTGCGACTGCGAATGGATGTTGCTTGATCTTCAGTCGCCGCCCACTGCCCAATGATTCTCACAACCGCCGGCTCCACTTTGTGCCGCTCAGTGAAAGATAAGTAGCGATGTGTTGGCCACGAGGAGGGGTGATCGTTATGTTGAAAAATGTGGTGATCACCGCTTTAGTGACCATTTTCCCTTAATCTTTCGACTGATCCAGGTCCTTTGTGAAGCTGGCAAAAAACCCCCCGTCCGGTGATCGCCCGCTTAGATCCTTTTGCATGTGACATCGACAGCCCCGAGGGGCGGCGCCGCCCACTTCCGGCTGCAGCTTCGGCTACTTTCGGTGGTGGGTGTCGTATAACCCCCCGCGATGTCTCTGGTGCGAGTGGAGCTACAGCGGGCGCGAACCGGGCAAAAACTAAATTTCTACGGAAATTTAAAAAACCAACCAACTTTTTTTGACTTTTGTCAAAATACTTCGTTAACACATAGCACTACGATGGCTCCCGAATCGCCATCCGTGCGGTTGGCACGTCAAATTGTCCCATTCGGGATCACGGGTGTAGGGCTGTTTATCATTTCACCCCTGCGATTCCGCGACAAGCTTGAGGCACGCCAGTACCCATCACAAAAACCACAACGAACCCGGGCTGGGACTCGTCGCTGCCGCGCCCCTCCAGCCGGCAAAGACTCTCCCCGCCCCCCCATGCAAAACCAGCTTCTTGTGCAGATGACATAGGCGCGCACAGCCATCCGACCCGGGATTTGCCCGGACCATGGTGGCCAGACTCGCAGCGTGCGCCATCAAACGGAGACGTGGCCACAAGCACATCAAGAGTCCTGCCCGCAATCCTCACAACGTAACCAAGAGTGGGGGCCTATTAATGACCGCAAGAGGCTGCTGTGAAACGCATAAAGTAACCAATCAACTTGTAAGACTGAAACCAGAAAACAAATACAAACTACAAAACAACAAAACCTAAAAAACTATGCAATTGTTTTTATTTTATTGGTGGTGATTATTTTTCAAGATTTCAGCACATCCGGAAGAAAAAACATTGAAATAAAATAATAAAAATGATCACATAAATATTTAAAACCGTCAAATTTTAAATAAAAAAAACTAAAAACTTAATTTGCATACCTAAAAACAATATAACAAAGGTTTTATTTGTTTTATAATATTTTTTCCTTGGTCTAACCAGTTCGGTCTGCACTTAGCCGCCAAAAACCAATCCATGAAAATATAACAAGTTCAATAAAATAAAAAAAAATCAAGGGAAATTTGGTCAACCAAGCCATTAGGCCAATATACCCAGTACTCTTGTTAAAACAACTTAAAAAATAACAGAAAAACAAAAGAAAACGTAAACACGTTATCGATAGACTTCGTGGCGGCGGAAATGACAGTGCTGCCAGCTAGTTGTTTTAATACCAGATCTAGTATTATTTTTTTTAGGAATTTAAATTACCGTAATAAATTCAAGAACTTGTAAGTATTTGATTTTAGAAATTGAAATTGTGTTGCCCTGTTTTTTCGATTAGTTGTTTTTCCTTAAGATGCTGGGGAAAATTGAAGTGCAACATATAATGGTAGACCAATAAATAAATATTTAAAACTTATATACTTTATAAAGTAACAGGTCTTCAAATTTAAAGTGAGCCAGGTATTTTGATGTGATTTGGCGCTAGACCCAGATTGAATGGGTTTCGCCTTGCTGCATTCGGTCACACTGGCGAAAATAATAATATTTCCTAATCAATATACCTGATATCAACAACTGATGCACAAAACACACCGTCTCACCGACAGCCAGTACATGGAGGTCGAAGGCTTGCTGCAGGTAAGTGGATGCACTGCATCCTCCGACATTTCCGGATGGCCCACAGACAGCTACAACGCCCTTTCTTTTCGCCCCGTCGCCATACACCACACCACTCCGCACCACACCACTCCGCACTCCACACTCCGCCCACTCGAAAAACCTGGCCAAAAACCACGCACACACTCGCACAGGCAATGGACATGCCCACCAGCCACGATCCGGAGGCGGAACTGGAGTCGGAGTCCACGTCGCTGTGCCGCCTGAGCCGCTACAACGTGACCAACCTGTACGATGGGCCGGCGGCGGCTGGCGGGGGGTCATCTCTGGCCTCGGGCCGCCAGCGCTGCTACACAATGCCGCATGTGCCACCGCCAGCGCCGCCCTCCACGCCCACACTGCTGACCGTCGGAGGCAGTGGCGGTGGCGGGGGCGGCGGCAGCAGCACCTCCGTATCCGTCTCCATTTCGCCCACCTGCTCCATCGGCAGCATCCATCCCCTGGATGGCCAGAGCCAGAGCCTCAGCCAGAGCCCCTTGAACCACTTCATCTATGTGAAGAACGGCAAGAACCTGCGTCGCGAATCGCGCTGCGTCGACTCGGAGCTGTCCAAGCTGTTCAACGTGGTGTCCATCACGAACCGGCTGACGGCCATCAAGAATCGGAGCGGCGGTTCCATTTCCAACTCCAATTCCAGCGGTATCCTCAACGCCTCGCGCACCATATCGAAGCTAAATGGGGCGACGGCCACCAAGATCTTCAAGATCCACCGGGATCCCAAGGAGTTTCTGCGCGAAACGGACGAGGATTCGGTATCAGCGCCGGAGTACGACGAGGAGGAGGAGGACACCCGGTTCCGGTTCTTTCGGCGGGCGCGCTATTCGCGCAGGATGTCGCGATCCGGACGCAAGTTCGCCCGCAAATTTGCACGATTCGAGCACCACGAGCGCATGGAGACCATCGTCGATAGCTTCGATGCGGCCATGAGCTTTAACGATGCGGACACCTGAGAGGCGGAGGCCACGACGACGAGGGCGACGACGACGACGACGACAAGAAGAAGGACGACGACGACGGCAACAGTTGAGGATGAGGACGAGGACGAGGATGAGGCATGGCAGATGGTCGGCCAAACAATGTGATGAATGTGAATTTCAACTAAATTATTTTAATTGCTACAAACTACTATTATTACTATTATTATTACCGATTACCGATTACCGAGCTGTTCTCTCCATACGTTTAGTTTCCTTCTACGCCGATTGCCGTGGCCTCCGGGATCCCAGCTCCATTCGTTTCGTTTCGATTCGACTCGATCCGATCCGATCCGGGCTTGGATGCGGATCGCGGACGCAGCGCAGGGCACGCATTTAGTTTAAAGCCTAGTTTTACGCCTACGCCTCTGGGGCGGAGCAGGTGCAGCCGACCACCGACTGGTTGTTTGCTCCACGAACAGAACGATTCCAATAAATGCACAAAACGTGTTGTATTCGAGAAGAGAGATTAATCGACGCTGGTTTCATTTATAAAAGTGATTTTTTTCAGGCTGAGAAATTTGTTTACTCAAATTCAAATTTAGTCACAAAACTCGAACAAATCTAATATTTAATTACAATTAATCAATCAATCAATCAATTCATTACTTACACTTAATGATGTCACGATTCCACTGGTAATATTTCATGATAATATGGAATTTTAAAGTGGGCTTACACTTCTGCAATTGATCAAAATACCAGCCTTTTTTAAGGGGTTTCCCCCTTTCTGTTTATTAACATTTTTGTATAGACATAGATTATTTTAGTTGTATGTTGCTTTAAATGTACAAAGCAACTTCAACCAACTGTAGACACCTAGGGAGCAATGCAGGCGGGGAAAGTCTCTCAGACTTGAAGCTATAGTTATATGACTCTGTCGCAAGTCTATTGGAGTCTTTATTAACGCCTACTTACAACTAGGCAGTTCCGAGAACTGATTTTCGCTTTTGAAGCCAAAATAAAATAAACAACATTCAATAACATCTAGATGATCTAAAAATATAATTCGCGAAACTCCCAGGATTTAGTCACGCTTCGAGAAGAAGAACTCCATTAGGTTATTCTCCAACTGCGTTGGACAGGTAACCGGCATGCGACATGCTCGCTCGTGGCAAATGTAAACCGTGGTCTTGCCATTGACCATCTTAAACTTTGTTTGCAGGCGATGGTTGGAGGTGTCATCCGGATTCGCGGGATCCACATGCACTATGATCATGCTTGGGATGTAGAACTTGCGGCAAATCTCCACGAAACGCTGGGTGCTCGGGGAATCCGGCCCCACCACTGCCACCAGATCCAGTCCGTTCTCGTGCATCAGCAGAGCCGACATCATTTCTGGCAGAGCGTGTCCGAAGGGCGAGACGTCGGCAAAGAAGTTAAGCAACTTTTCGGCCTTCTCTTGGTAGGCATTCTCTTCGTAATAGTGCGCCAGCAGGATGAGATTGCGGGCGGATACACTGTTACCACAAGGCTCGGCACCATCGTGGTCTACAAAGGGGTTTCACAAAGTCAGTTTGTGGATCATAAAATCAATAAATTAAAAAATATTTACCCTCCTTTAGCCGCACAATAACATTGGGTGCATCCTCCTGCGAGAAGAAGTAGGCTCCATTGCGCTCGTCCCAGAAGAGCTTGTTCTGGGTGTCCTGCAGTGTCCTGGCCCAATGCAAGGCATCGATGTCCAACGTGGCCTTGTAGTAGTCCAGCAAACCCTTGATGAGGAACGCATAGTCATCCAGGAAGCCATCGATTTGGGATCTATAATGTGGAAATATTAAAAGTAATAACCTGAATCATCTTTCATTAAAGATTCACTGAAAACTCACTCATTCTTCTCCAGGGTTTCATCTCCCAAAGCCACGCCATAGCAGGAGCGAATGAGAAGATTCTCTTCCGGTTTAAACATCTCTTTGCGCAGAAATTGCAAAAGTTCCTTGGCCGTCTGCATGTACTGATCGCGGTTGGCGGAGTAGCAGCTGCCCAGTTTGCAGAGACCCGACAGCACCAGGCCATTCCAGGCGCATATGATCTTGGTGTCCAGGTGCGGACGCGGTCGCTTATCCCGCAGAGCATGCAGAATATCGTTGGCTGTGGCCAGCAGGGTCTCAAAGTGCTCCGCAGGCAAGCTGAAATTGGAGCAGGTCTCCTCTGCTGATCCTCGCACAATAAGAATGTTCTTGCCAGTGAGGTGGCCATGTGGATCACTGTAGGACGGTACATTTCCCGTTGGCTTTAGTCCGTAGTGAAAGGCGTAGATCTCAAAAGCCTTCGCGGGCGTAATGTCGTCAAACCGCTCCGGTTGAGCCTTGAATGCAGCTTCAATCTCGTCCCAGGTCCAGGCGTAGAAGGCTCCCTCCACCTTCACTTTGTCTTCGTGGGTGGGCAACGAATCCGCATCTTCGCCGGCAAAGAAGCTCCCCGAAGGGTGTCTTAGGTCCTTCATTAAATACTTGTAGATCTTGTCTGCATAGCCCAGAAAGGCTTCGTTCCTGGTCATCTTGTAGGCATTGGCAAAGGCTGCCATTAGTTGACCTTGATCGTAGAGCATCTTCTCAAAGTGGACGTTGTGCCAATCATGGGTGGTCGCGTATCGAGCAAAGCCTCCAAAAATGTGGTCATTTATGCCGCCCTTTCCAATGTGATCCAGCGTTTGAATCGCCATGTCCAGCACATCCGCATCCTTGCTGACGGAATACGCGTGAAAGAGAAAGTTGAGACGCGGTACCTCCGGGAACTTGGGCTCCGAACCAAAGCCCCCATGACGCTGATCGAATCGCTGCTTATGGATGTTGATGGCTTCGCGTAGCTTCTCTCCAGAACTTCCTGGTCCAAAGGCTGCATCTGCAACGGCCGCCGCATCCTGGTTCCTCTGTAAGGCGCTGAGCAAAACGGTTCCTGCCTTCAGCAGAGATTCCTTATCGGCTGACCACTTCTTAGCAATGGACTTGAGCACAGTTTGGAATGAGGGCATGCCGTATTGGGACTTGGGCGGAAAGTACGTTCCCGCCACCAAGGGAGCCAAGTCTGGGGTTAGCCACACGCTCATCGGCCAGCCACCACTGCCCTTGGACATGAGCAGGAACTGCATGTAGACCTTGTCGATGTCCGGACGCTCCTCCCGGTCCACCTTGATGTTCACAAAGTGCTCGTTCATAATGGCCGCTGTTTCGGGGCTCTCGAAGGACTCGTGCTCCATCACATGGCACCAGTGGCAGGTGGAGTAGCCCACCGAAAGGAAGATGAGCTTGTTCTCGCTGCGAGCCCTCTCGAAGGCCTCATCGCCCCAGGGATACCTGCAGTTAATCAGTTTTTTTTGTTAATATCAACAGCATTTGATTGCAATTGATCCCTCTTATTTTTTAATGTGTTTAAATTATAGCTGATTTAAATAACGTCTTTTTCAAGATGTAAAGTGGCCAAAACACAACCATTTATATAACATGCATTGAATGCGCAGTAAACAATTTACAAATAAAATATCTTAAACAGAGACATATTACAAGTTGAGTTTAGTTAACTAGTTTGGAGTGGGTGAGTTATACCGCCTCTTATCTCTTATCACACGTGACTTTCGATTCAGCTGACACCCACGCACTTCGATTTCAGGTGCACCCACGCTTGTTGCTACTCACCAGTCCACTGGATTGTAGGCATGCTGCAGGAGATACGGCGACTTGGAGGAGAGCAGGCGATTGCCCTGCTTTGGAGGCTCCTCCTGGGATGCCCCTCCGGTTGCCAATGCCGCCTTGACTATCACCTGGGATGTCGATGCCTCCGTAGAGTCCTTGGCCGCCTCTGCGGATGCCTCCTTGGGTGACTCTCCTCCGCTGGCCATTCCCCTGAAATTCTGGCTGTTCCGCCAATTTGTAACATTAAAACAGGTGGTTTCTGCTTTGCTTTTGCCCCAAACGCAGTTGCTACTCACTTGCTCAGCGTGCGACTACGACAACCGAAGTGTGGGAGTCGCAGGTTCAGGTTCAGTTCCCGTCCGATTCCGACTGATACCGCTTCGGATGTGGATGTATCTGGCTGGAGTTTCAAGGTCGTGTGCAGAGTGCTTCGTATCCGGGGGAAGAGCGGTCTGACCCTGAACATAGCAAACGTATCGGGAGCGGGATTCTTGGGACTTGCGCGGTGATTTCACTCGACCTCGACCAATGCCAAAAAAACTGCAACGTGTGAATTGACCAATGTTTTTAATTTTTGTTTAGCATATCGACTGTAGAGGTGGCACAGAAAGCGATGTTTATCCGATACTATCGTTAGTTGAAACTGGGCAACATCGATAGCCATCGATTATTTGAAAGCTATTTACTGTTACGGATTTAAATTATTAAATGGGCAGTTAATAAAAAGTTCCTATACAGATGCAGAAAAGAAAAAAGAACGGTTTGAAAAACAAAATAAATATTGATACGTTTTAACGTTGTATCCCTTCCATTCAGAATAACTAAAAATGAGATTAACTAAAAACAGGAAAGTTGAATGATATTTAATCTTAAACTTAAAACTTACTCAAATTTGGAAAACTAAAAAAAATATTACTTTTGTTGCCTACTTTCAGGCTGCCCATGCCATGACTGCAGTCCATTCAAAAATTACAGATTTTCAAATTTTCATGGTTTTATTAATGCATACAGTTTATCTTTGCTTTGATAATTATGTAGAAAATGCTTACACCTAGGCGGCCGATATATAGAATAATTAACCTACTAGCTAGTTGAAAATCACAAATGAACATACAATATTTATACATTATAGTGTGGGTATGTGGTAATTAAGCACATTGTTTTAAACTAATACACATTGCGGGCTGGACAGGCGGATCCTGTGGACTCTCGCGATCGGCTCTCAACTTTAAGTTGACAGCTAGGAGAATCAAATCAAATAGAATCCGGCCATTGCCATTGCCATTGGCCATTAACAATCGCTTTGGACTAGCGCATCGCTGAGGGAGCCCAGCTGCTCCTCGCTGCCCTTGATCCTTTCGGCCAGGTCGCGTGCATCGGCGATCAGCTTGGCCTTCATGTTGATGAAGTAGTCGTAGTCGGCGCACATGTCGGCGCTGAGGTTCTTGCCCAGCAATCCGGCGATGCTGGTGCCACGTCGATCGATGTCCGCCTTCAGCCGCTGCGCCTCCTCCAGCTGCTCGTACAGCCGATCCCGCTTCGATTCCAGCGCACCCTAAAGATAGGAAAACAAAAAATATATATATATATATACAAATATGTAAAATGCATTCTTTTTTTGATGGTATGTATGTGAACCGACCTTTTCCTGCTGGCGCGTTTCCAGGCTGCACTCCGTTTGGGCCAGGCGCTCGGAAAGCGAGAGGAGCAGACTGGTGATGTGACCCACGTCGTCGACGTAGGTGCGGAACTTGGACGCCTCGCTGGGCCGCACCTTCTCCGCCAGCTTGGCGAAGAGCTCCTGGCCCAGTTTGTCATTGGCCGAGCACTCCTCGCCAATG